GTTTCGGAATCAATCAAATCATGTATTTCTCTGTATTTTCAGGGGTCCTTGCAAAAAGGCCTTTGGAGACAGAAATCAGCGAAATCAAAGGTAAGCCTCAACCAGGCCTTAATTAAGGCCTAGCTAAGGATGAACATTCCTGGGGTTCACCCAGAATTTCAAACATAGTCCTTTTGATACCCAGAACCATGTAAAGAGTTCAAACGGCGGCTGTTCAGTACCCAAATATCCGGGTTTGACAGTGACACATGTGGCCATCAAACCAATCCACTCAAGTCTTAGGAATCCACCCAAAGCCACCGGCCGGGGCCCAAGCCCACTTGTTGAAGAGGAAGGTCTTTCGGTTCAGCTTCTGGGCCTAAGCCCGCCCCAGGCTTCTGAAAAAAATGCTCGGAAGTCCAGACTGAGGAAGCCCAATGTCGGGCGTCTTTGTGTGGAGGGTACCGCCATGTTTTTGATGCGAAGAGAAACCGAGAAAAAAAACACGTTTTGGGGCCTGAAAAAAGGAGTCGCACGTTTAAACTTGCACGAATGGTGGGATTGCTTGTGAGAAGGCAGTCCTGGAATGTGTCAAGTTTTGAACGCTGGGCACTCCATAAGAGACGAGCCTGCTTGGCCCACCCATTGGTCCAATCACGTCAACACACTGCATGGTACTGCGCTCCATGACAGCTTCATTCACACCACGAGTTCCAGCCGGGGAACCAGAGCAAGCCAAGCATGCCTTTTCCGGCCAGACCTGCGGAAGTTTCCTCCTGCCCACCCCACCAGTGCCTGAACCCGTGTCAGGTCGGCACTTGCACCTATCAGTGCCCCGGCCAGGAAATGCAACATCTCTACTCTTGGTATGGTAGCTAAACTTTGTTTTTTGCAGACCCCCCAGTAAAAATGAACAGAACCAAAAAACTAAAAAAAAAAAAAAAACAAAAAACATGCCAAGAACAGTGAAGGCAAGCTTGACCTTTTAGATCCGAAGCCATGCAAAGAACTAAGCCCAGGTCTCGGCTGGAACTGTCTGGAACCCTCCCCAAACCAACCCAGAGCCTGGGCAAAGACCCCAAAGCTTTCAGCTGAGCTGGGGCTTGGGGCAGAACTGCCAGACTCAGAACCGCCCAGTTCTTCTGACCCCGTTACTAGGCTGGAATTAGGACCCTGACCCCAGCAAAAATATATATCTTTCTTTGGAACCAAAAAAGGGGAGCTCATTCTGGGGAAGGTTCAGCGCGCGCGCGCGCAAACACACACAAAAGACGGCGGAGGCCCCGGCCAGGAACTCATCGAAGAGCAGCACGTCGGTGGACTCCTCACCGCTACGGTCCAGGCGCCGACCTGGGCGGTCGTCCATGGAAAGGGATGCGGTTTGCCTCACTTGCTGAGTGGATGGTCCAAAAGAAAGCCCAAACATCTCATATTTACCACTCGTCTGCCCAAAAAGCTGAAAGTTCATGAACTCAGGAAGTGAGTTTCTCTGGTGCGATAGGTGGGGAATGAGAAATGGCATGAACCCAGGGATTCCCGTAAAGGAAATCACCAGTTGGATGGTTTATAAGGCTCATTCCATTTCTCATTCCCTGCTGAGCACCAGCAAGTTTGTGTGCTTCCAATGGGTTCTTCGTACGTTGAAAGTAATTTCCAGGCGTCAGGACAAGAAGACTGTCTTGTGCGAAGGCGTCAGTTCCAATGTGTGTTCAGCGGATTTCTTTAAAGGCATATCATGCAATCTCAAGGTACGCTAGAAATAACTGAGAGGGGACCCTTGTTGGGTTTGAATGACTTGCTGTTTGACGCGAACAGCACATGCGGAACCAACTGCACGCTTTACCAGAAGCCACCCATTCCGTTCGCCTTTCCCCAAATTAATGGTATGCGACAGCATCTGGGCAAAGTGCCGTGACTTCCACAGAGGAAACAAGGGAGTAAAGGACCCTTTACCTGCAGCCAAGCTGTTTTAACCTGTCCGAGTGGCATGAGGGCCCTTTTTCTTCAGGCTTCGAGGCCATTTCCACACAGCCTGATTGATAGAGAGAATCTCCGGAAACGCTTGCCTCAGCTGGGCAGGACGGCCGAAGTCGCTCACCCAGGGCGCAACAGGACTCCTTACCCCCACCCAATGCCTGAACGAATCCACCTCTTCTATGAGTTTGAAGCCCTACAAGCCAGCTGGATTCATCTGCACGTGTTACTCTAACTCCAAACGCTGAATTAAGAGTTGGATCCTGAAGTAAAGTACCTGTATCATGGCTTTCGCTCGTTATACCCCCGGATCGGTCCGCTCGCGATAGAAAAATGCAGATTCATCCACAACAACCCCTAGAAAGCGGGCGCGCCCAAGCGCCCCCGCTGATCCAGCTCGCCCACATCTGGGTGGAGGTCATCTCCTTCAAGAAGTTTCGTTCCGTGTCAGAGCCTCAGCCCCAGGCCATCCGCTCTGGGACGACTTCCAGACCCCAGAAACCTGGAGCTGAGCTGAGCTCACTGGCCGAGAAATATGAGGAGACCAGACTTCGGGATCTGGAACCCTGCACTGGCCTCATTCTGTTAATTGCCATGATCAAAGCCACCCCCCAAGTGGTGGGTTGAAGGGAAACGACCCCACTGTCTGACTTTGACAACCCACAGAAACCGTGAAAATACTGGCCCCAGCTGCATGGAGCTGAGCTGAGCTCGGCCGAGCAATATTCAGAGGAGAAACCGATACAAAGCTGCAGGAAAAGATTGGTCACTCCCCTCAACATTTTGATCGATTTAGGGGTGGTGTCCACTGAAAGGATCGCCACTTCTGAAGGTTCCCAAAACAAAAACGGAGGAAACCCTGACAGACTTGATAAGTCTTGAAGTTTGGAAACTGAACAGGTGTAACGGACCACGTCTTGCCATCTGCAGGTCCACAAAACGCGCCGATACGCGCAGGCTCACAGGAGACGTGACCCGAATGGCTTCTTTGCTGTTGGTGGTTCCGTTCAAAGGGTGTTGACACCTTACGTGCCTCTAAGCAACGCCGTGCTTTCAAGCTTAGGCTGTTTCTTTAACGCCCCCGCAACATCTGTGCCTTGAAGTGTTGCTGACCAGGCGTCACCTTCGTCCAAATCGGCCATGGTTTTCAAACAATGCACTGCCAAGGTCGAGCAAGGGCTGCTTTGTTTGCTGCCTCGGATGGCTTTGTTGCTGCTGTCCTGGCGAGCGTTGCCCTGCCAAAACTTGACCACCCTTCCACCCCTCACGGCAAAACATGCCAATGACGCGAGGGATTCGGTCACGCCCAAGCGCATGCAGACTCAGGCTGTGGCATTTGGACAGGAAGCCGGCTTGGTCGAAACCTGGCATGTCGCCTTGACTTGAATCCTTATGGATGATCGGGGTCATGTCGAATTCACCCAAGGATTTTGTGAAAGGGTCAGCTCATGTCAGCTCTATCCCCTGGCCCAAAATCCTGGCGTTCCATGGCGTTCCCGTGCCCACTCCCCAGGAGCAAAATCGCGGCCCTTCCCGTTCCTGCACGCGTAGAAAGAGCAGCGGCCTCCGTCGAAGCGCTCATTGGCGAAGCGGCTGTGATCAACCAAGAGGTCGGTCATAAACCTGGCACTCGCAACTCGCAACTCGCCTACCTGGTTGTTCGATCAAGTTAGTAAGTTGTTACTAAGCTAGGTACCCACTCACCCCCGTTCAGTGGGATTCCACCTTGTTATTTGGGGGGGGGGTACAAATTATAAGTGGGATTCAAACTGTTCGGTGCCGAATGCCCCAGGTTTGCACTTGACCAAGTCTCCAAAATCGAAAGTGGGGAGACTTAGACGAAACTCACCGCACCCCTTAAAGGCAGGTGGGGCAAGCCAAGAAGACCTGCCAGCTCTGCCAAAGGAAAGCCATTCCTGAGCTGCGCGTGGCACCAACCGGCCATCAACCCACCGGCCATTTTTACGACTAAGAAACACACGCAGAGTGCACAGACCAGCCCAGCTTCCCTCACAAGCTGTCACTATCCCTGCGAATTGCAGGGTGAGGCTTCAAGTATCTGCAAGCTTGGAGCTACGCGTTCCCGTGTACGTGCCAAAGAAGCCCATCACGGTAGGCACAAGTCACACTCATGCAGCCGGGATGCGTATGAGTTCGTCTTGTTCTACCCCGTTCTCGCCCTGCGCGACATGACTTGCGAGGTTTCTCCCAGCCGCAAAATGACAGGAAAAGGCTCCCTCTAGTCAAGCTTTGCAAGATGCCTTTTCAGATACAAGGACAAGTTACGAAGCAAGGGCGGCATCACATGAAAGCCCATGCCTCTGCCGCTTTCGTTCTCGGCTCCAAAGGAATTCTACAGTGATAGATTGTAGCCGTCTTCTCCGATAGGCAGGGAATGAACCCAGGGAGTTGGGAATGAACCGAACGGGAATTCCCTTAAAGGAAGCTGTAGCGGATTATAGGGGGTCATTCCATTTCCTCAGTTGCCCAAAGGACCTGGAACTGAAAGGTTAACCTTTTGTGGCCATGACGAAATATGGACCAAAATGGGAAAACCAAAAGGTCAAAAGGTCGGCTTTGAACAACTGAGTTTCTCCTTCCCTGCCCATCGAACCAGCAAGAAAAAGCCCTCAAGCAACAATGGGCTTGTAAACTGCGACCGGCTCTGCTCAGCTCTTTCCGCTTGCCAGCCCCCCGGCATAAGCGCTCGTGCGGCAGGTGGCTAAGCCACCTGCCGAAGCACAACTGCTTTCGACCGGCCGGCGCAATCTTGGGGCCCATGCAACGTATGAACAAGGCTGAGGTTGCTGATGTGTCACCTCCCAGGTCGAAAGGAGCTTCCTGAAACTCATAACTGGAGTCCGAGCAGCTGCCCTGAGGACAAAACTTAACGGATCGTGCCCAAATCGCGACATTCGCGCGGTGGCACCATGGCACCAGGGCACCAAAGCTCACAAGCGAAACGCGACTTTTCAACGCGCGTGCTGTGACTCAGTGACCCTGGTACTCAACTTGCATGGCCAATAACAGCTAGCAGCACAGAGGCTTTATGCCTCCATCAAGGCGTAGCCTTCTCTCCCTCGACGCCTCCTCAGCATGAAGTAGCTCACTTGTGCCACCAAGCCGGCAGCCAACAGGCCGATGGCTGCCAAACGGGTCAGCGGCACCTGGCCCACGAATCGGTTCAATTTCACGTGTTGGCCCTGCTTTGGATGGGGTGGAGCTTCAGGACCAGCTACTTACACTTGGCCAACCAAAGTTTCAGACTAAACGTGCCACAAAGAAAGTGGGTCACTGCAAGGATGCTTCCCTTCGCTTAGCTGCCCAACGGTTCTGCATCACGAGCTTTGCAAAGGCTTTCTGATGCGTTTTCCGAGTGAGCCGTTGGCAAATGGTCGCCAGCCGTGCAGAAGAGGCTTCGCACGTCGAGAAGTTTCTCAGGCCAAGCAACCCCTGGAAGCTGGAGAAATGGCAAAACGACACACCAACCTACCTGGAGTCTCCATGACCCTTTAAAAATGGGTCAATGACCCCATTATGTTGGGTAATGACCCCATGATTTTGGGTAATGACCCCATTATTTTGGGTAATGACCCCATTTTTCAAGGGCCACGGAGACTCCAGGTACAAACAAAGCTTGCAGCTCTTCAGCCTCTGCGAACTGTTTGAACACCTTGCGGCCCTTGAGCCGCTTGAGAACTTTGCACCAAGTGCTCCCCTCACACCTGCCGTACCCGAAAAAACAAAACTGAGCTGCCCGTTTTCAGATCCCCAAATATTAACTTTTAGTAGGTCAAATGGAAACTACCACTAGACACTGAAAAGCTAAAAAGGCTAAGGAAAGGGGATGGCTGGGAGCCAAGAAAACCTGAATAGCGATGTGGTACTCGGAAAACACAAATAACGCGCGGCCTGCTCCATCTCCTTCTCAAGGTGCGCGAAGGGAGTCCTTTTGCACGAAAGGACAGGGCTCTACTCATATGCCGAGGCTAGAGCCGTTGAGAGCGGTTGAACATATCCGATTCTCCACCGAACCTGAGCTTGTTTGCCAACTGTTTAGAGGAAAGTTAAGGCGTATACACAACTTGCACACTTCCGCCTTTCCCATTCGGAAACCGGCATAGGTCTGGTGTAAAAAAATCGCAACGCCCATTGTGCGCTGGTCATGTCAGCCAACAACTTTTCGGTGCGGTTGGCGCAGTCCTGCTGTTTATGGTTTGTTACCACACTGTTGCTGCGGATGAGAAGCAATCCTCTGCCCCTGACCCACGCCGAACCACTCAAGTGGCCTTAAATTAAAGCAAGCCGGAAACCCACCCACAGCCAAGCCGCAACGACCCTCCGAAAATACATTGCATATATTTGTACAAAGAATTTCTGCAACCTAGAGCATCCTAAAGGGTGAAGTTAAACTAATCGCGGGGGCTGTTGATCCCAGCAGTTCCAAGTGTCAAGAGATGCATCGCCAATGGAAGGGACCTCCCTGGTTTGTTCCCTTCGAACCGCCGTTTCGCTTCCAACAAAGGGCCCTCTCACAAGAAAACCCATGCACGCATGGTCCCCCAGCTCCATAAGTCTTACCCAAAGGAAAAATTCAGAATTCCAGGAATCAACACTTCCACTCCCTCAGCCCCCCTACGCGATGAAGGAACCGGAGCCCCCCCCCCGCAATTGTTCATTCACTCGGGGCTCTGCTTGATTGAAAATTGCAAGTTGGCTCTTTCGGGAAAGTGAGGTGCATGAGCGGATCTTATCCCAGAAGCAAACCCCCAACCCCCACCTGCCCCCGGCCCACCCCCAACCCCGACAAAACACCGAAAAAAACACGCACACACACACACAAAAAAAAAATCAAAACAAAGAAACAAAACACACACACACACATACACAAACCTACGCAAACGCGCAAACAAACACACAATCAGACACACAAACACAAAAAACAAACAAACAAACACACAAACAAAAACAGCACACACAAACAAAAAACACAAAAAAAAGCACAGACAAAAACACAAACAAACAAAAACACACAAACACACAAACACACACACACACACACCAAAACCCTGACGTACACCCCCCCCAAAAAAAAACAAAAAACAAACAAACAAACAAACGAAAACACACACACACACATACACAAACCTACGCAAACGCGCAAACAAACACACAATCAGACACACAAACACAAAAAACAAACAAACAAACACACAAACAAAAACAGCACACACAAACAAAAAACACAAAAAAAAGCACAGACAAAAACACAAACAAACAAAAACACACAAACACACAAACACACACACACACACACCAAAACCCTGACGTACACCCCCCCCAAAAAAAACAAAAAACAAACAAACAAACAAACAAACGAAAACACACACACATACACAAACCTACGCAAACGCGCAAACAAACACACAATCAGACACACAAACACAAAAAACAAACAAACAAACACACAAACAAAAAAAGCACACACAAACAAAAAACACACAAAAAAAAAAAGCACAGACAAAAACACAAACAAACAAAAACACACAAGCACACAAACACACACACACACACACACACCAAAACCCTGACGTACACCCCCCCCAAAAAAAAACAAAAAACAAACAAACAAACAAACAAACGAAAACACACACACACACACATACACAAACCTACGCAAACGCGCAAACAAACACACAATCAGACACACAAACACAAAAAACAAACAAACAAACACACAAACAAAAAAAGCACACACAAACAAAAAACACAAAAAAAGCACAGACAAAAACACAAACAAACAAAAACACACAAACACAAAACACACACACACACACCAAAACCCTGACGTACACCCCCCCAAAAAAAAACAACAAACAAACAAACAAACAAACAAACGAAAACACACACACACATACACAAACCTACGCAAACGCGCAAACAAACACACAATCAGACACACAAACACAAAAAACAAACAAACAAACACACAAACAAAAAAAGCACACACAAACAAAAAACACAAAAAAAAGCACAGACAAAAACACAAACAAACAAAAACACACAAACACACAAACACACACACGCACACACCAAAACCCTGACGTACACCCCCCCAAAAAAAAACCAAAAAAAAAAACAAACAAACAAACAAACGAAAACACACACACACACATACACAAACCTACGCAAACGCGCAAACAAACACACAATCAGACACACAAACACAAAAAACAAACAAACAAACACACAAACAAAAAAAGCACACACAAACAAAAAACACAAAAAAACACAGACAAAAACACAAACAAACAAAAACACACAAACACACAAACACACACACACACAAAACCCTGACGTACACCCCCCCCAAAAAAAAACAAAAAACAAACAAACAAACAAACAAACAAACGAAAACACACACACACACATACACAAACCTACGCAAACGCGCAAACAAACACACAATCAGACACACAAACACAAAACACAAACAAACAAACACACAAACAAAAAAAGCACACACAAACAAAAAACACAAAAAAAGCACAGACAAAAACACAAACAAACAAAAACACACAAACACAAAAACACACACACACACACCAAAACCCTGACGTACACCCCCCAAAAAAAACAAAAAACAAACAAACAAACAAACAAACGAAAACACACACACACATACACAAACCTACGCAAACGCGCAAACAAACACACAATCAGACACACAAACACAAAAATAAACAAACAAACACACAAACAAAAAAGCACACACAAACAAAAAACACAAAAAAAGCACAGACAAAAACACAAACAAACAAAAACACACAAACACACAAACACACACACACACCAAAACCTGACGTACACCCCCCCCAAAAAAAAAAAAAAAAAAAAAAAAAAAACAAACGAAAACACAAAAAAAAACACACACACAAACACAGACACACAGACACACACATAGAGTGACATGCACCCATAGAAACACACCCAAAACACTGACGTTCTAAACAAAAACAGCGGGCCAACGTTCTAAAAAAAAGAAGAAGAAACAAAACACACACAACAAAAAAGACACACAAACATACACAAACATACGCAAACGCGCAAACACACACAAACAACCAAACAAAAAACACAAACACACACACACACACCAAAACAGTGAAGTACACCCCCATTTGTTTAACAAAAAACAAAAACAAAAAACATACCAACCAGCGGGCCAAGCTTCGGCTCCGGCAGCTCGAAGAAGCTCGTGGCACCGGAGGTGGCGCCCAAGAGGCTCTTGGGGAACCACCTGGCGGGTGGGTTTCGTTGGAAACCAATCTGCGACCCAAATGCGTGGGATGTGTTTGATCCGGAGCAATCGGCGTCCTATTTGCGGCGTCATACTGCGGATGGTTGCGAAATCCATTTCGCGCCGCCTAACAAAAACGCCTGGAATGGGGCGATTCTCCTGTAAATGCCAACGAACAATGGGTTTCAACCATGGTTTCGAAGTGGTGCAGGATTTCGTCCATCCACAGTATGGCCCCGAATCGATTTTTGTGGGCGCAGCCATATTGAAGCCAATTGGGGGGGCTTGCAGAAAATTGGGACCACAAACAAAAGCCAGGTGAAAACTTGGTCCAACAGTGAAGAAACCCGCCTCTTCGGCGTCTTCAAGCCCAAAATCGACCGAACTCCTTTTTTTGGGGTTCCTCGTATCCGCCGAAGCCCCAACTCGGCAGCCCAAAGCTTGGAGAAAAACGGCGTCGGAGGGGGGAGCCTGTGAAAAGCTTTGGTTGGAAACCCAGCGGTGCGTTCTTGCCTTTGCCCTTTCTCCCCAAGCATTTTTAGCGGATCCTTGGAGTAGTGGAGCTGGACACCCCTTTAGGTTGAGGATTCAAAGGGAAGCCCTAATACAGCCGACGAGTGTTGGGGTGCAACTGCAAAACTTGAGGGAAGGCCAAGACATAGGCTCCTCCTACTTCAACCTTGCCGTTTGGGCAAATTTGAATCGAGCCTCTTTTTGGTGGAATGATGTTTGAAGGGGACATGTAAAGAACCATTGCAGGGAGCAAACAAGCTGTTCAACCTCTTGGGGCGGCGACCAGTCTCAGTCGGTGTTTGCGGTTTGGGAGGCTGGTCCGTCTTATGTGTCCCAAGCAAATAAACCCACCAAAACGGGACAACCATGCTTTCTCAGAGTTTCTTGGACTGAGAGGAGGCTAAGGGGTGAGCAACCATGGCGCGTGAAATGCCTACACAATTTAGGCTGTGGAAACCCGGCTCGTGGAAATGTACCTCCTCTACGTTCCTGGTTATACCCACAGCGACGTTTTGCATTCCTTCTCGACCAATGAATCCACTCTAATCAAGGTCATCCATTTCTTACCCCTCGCCAAGTCCTGGACGCCAATTTGAAACTGCTAGGGTCTCCGCAGAACAAGTTCCTTTTGATTTGCGTGATGTAGACCATGTAAAAGATGCAAGGGCTACTTCTCATTTGCATGTGATGTTGGAAACGCCTCCCTTCCAAACTCAACACACTGTCTTGAGCGGGGTGAGAATCGGGATGCTGAATGTGTCGGTGTGCGTGTGTGCTGGGACAGATGCAGAAGCGGCATCAGGCTGCCAATCCTAGCGGCTGGGAGGTGCAGGTGGGTTTGGGCCAGCTGCGGGGAACTCAGCGATAGCGTTGGGGGACGGAACGTGCGACATGTTCAACTGCTTGCCTTTTTGCTTGCCCCAGCTTTACAACCAATTGAGACCAGCATGCATGCCTCAGGGTCAAGGTTGCAAAGTGTGCGGTTGGCCGAACTAGGCCTCAATGGGGCTGGAGGATATTTCCCCACGTGCAATGGCCGCATCCCATCCACTCTCAGCATTTTTCACCTGCCTGTAAGCTCCAGGCCTGGTGACATCGTAGATGTACCTACCAGGGCTTACCAGAAGGGGCAGGAGGCTCTGTTGAACTGGGGACCCAAGAAACTGTGGGAAACCATTTTGCCCTTTAAACCCGCCCCAAACAGGCGTAGCCTACAAAAAGACAACCCCCCCCCATCTCACCAGCGACCCAGCTTTTCCCGGGCTATCCCCGTGCATCCGCGCGCGTTCGCGCATCCGCGCGCGCCTGGTATGTGGCGTGCTAGGCTTGGAGGTGGAGGGTGGCCACTGGAGCCCCAAGCGACTGGCGCGGATACTTCGTGCCGACACTCCCCGGATGAAGTTGGCAGTGCCTCAAGCTCGCGCGGGGCACACACGAGGCCACGCGGCTCAAGCGCCAGGGTGACATGGCGAGCTTTGCTTCGTAGGCCCTTTTTTATTTTATTTTTTCAGAGGGACACCGACCCATGTTTGGAGGATATTTGACATTGACCCAACCCATCTTGACAAGGGAACCAAACCCATCGTCCCTTGTGCTCCTCGTGGGCTCTAAGGCGGGCTACGGGGGGGCTATCCCTGCATAAGGATAGGCCAAGGATAAGCTGGTAAGGCCGTTCCATTTGCATCCCCACAGCCAAGTTAGCCGGCAACGTGATTCTTTTAGAGCGTCAGAGGCGGAGGCTTGTCATGGACAAACATCCTAGCTCCAATTAGGGATGACAGATGCAGTCTGCCATCCACAGTATGCTTGGGGGTCTCCCTTTGGCCCCCCCATATAGTCCAACTGCTCAAATGAACATGGCCCAAACAAGCTCCGAAAGGTGGGACATGTGTGCAGTTGGCCCCGTCTCAATGGCCAAAGGATGCAGACATAAATGTTCACCTTTTGGGGCCATGACTAAAACGGACCAAATTCAGGAAACTCACCTTGCATTTGCTTAAGCCCCCTGGAAGAAATACACACATGTCCAGTAGTGCTAGATTCCCTTTAAAACCAACAAGCAAATGGAAGAACAGATCAGGTCGATTCGCTTGGGCACGCGAGTCCTGAGTGCAGGTTTGCAACACGAAAACATCCCCTACCTTAAGGAGGGGGGTGGGGCGTCCGGGACCCAATTCCATTTATCTAGCCTTCTGTTTGCCAGAAAATGGATATTTTCAGGGGAGGAACTCCTCCAATTTCGACTGGGCCAGCCTTGGACCCCAAAAAGTTGGATCCAGCTGATATTGACCCAATAGTAGCTCTGAATATATGGCTTCAAGTCATCAACCCATTGGGGATAAATGGGGTCCGCCTGTGTGAGTCCGAGAATTGGCTCCCTTTGATCAATTCCATTCCTAGGGGGCTGGGGATAGTCCAAAGTTCCGCCTTGAGTGGACCAAAGTGGACTTAAACCCGGGAGTGGTTGATCTCCCCAAAAGGGAAACGGCGTTTAAGTCTACCTTCTACCTTAGTCAAAAAGTGGAACCCTTTCAAACGACCAGGGGAAATTCCCAAATCTTCTTAAATCTTCTGAAGCAAACACAAGTACCGGGGATACGGAAATCCCCAAAAGGGAAAGTCTTCGGTTTAAGCCTAGCTTAGTCAAAAAGTGGAATCCATTGAAACCAACAGGAAATAAACCCCTAGGTTTAAGTCTGACATGGGGCCCAGTCAAAACACGGAACCCTGGGGCATAATGGGCACAGGGGAAAATCACAAAATGATTCTTAAGCCCACTTCCATTTCTAGCATTCCCCATAAAGGGAACATGGCACCATACATGGGTTTAAAATTGGTCACCCCCCTCCCCATATTCCCTTCCTGAGGTCCCCCAATGGCTTCTTTCCTTCTGGTTTCCATGTTTTTTCCATAGCATAATTGTTCTGCCCAATGGCAGTCAAGTGAGGTATCCCCCATAAAGGGTAACTGGAACCATAGATGGGGTTTTCTGGGGGTCACGAGTCTCACGAGTCACTCCCCTCCCCCAATTCCCCAGGCGAGCGAAGCCGCAAAGCAACTCCGCATCTTCCGAGGGGCGGTTCAGGGCCAGCGAGGCCTGCCAGAGCTCTTTGCCCGCGCCGCAGCCCTCGGAGTACATGGGGAAGTCGTGCCACATGCCCACGTGCACGTCCACGTGAACGCCTCAACCGGGAAAAAAAAAAAAAAGAGGTCAGGGACCAAAGGGGAGAAACAGAGACCTTGGGTGGGTGGGTGGGTGGGTGGGTGGGTGGGTGGGTGGGTGGGTGGGTGGGTGGGTGGGTGGGTTCCAGGGGAGAAACAGAGACCTTGGGGGCGGGGGGGGGGGTGAGTTCCAATGATGATCTGCTTAGGGAGTTAGTTGCTTCAACATGAAGGGCCGAATGGTTTAGAGGGGAGTTGCCTGCAGCTCTCTGCATGAGTAAGGTCAAACATGAATGCAAATCACGGGCAACATGTCAATCAGGTAGCTTGAGGCCTGCGTCGCCTCAAAACTGTCAAACCAATTTGCGCCTCAAACTTGCTATCTATCAGGAGGAAATGAAACACACAAACAAACACGCGCACACATGCACACACACACACACACACACACACACACACACACACACACACACACACACACACACACACACACACACACACACACACACACACACACACACACACACACACACACACACACACACACACACACACACACACACACACACACACACACACACACACACACACACACACACACACACACACAACGCACCCTTCCACACAACGCAACGCAGCGCAGCACAGCACAGCGCGGCAAAATATAGCACAACACAACCAACAAAACACAAACACACACACACACACCATGCAACAAAACAAAAACACACGCGCACACACACACACAACACGACACAACAGAACACAACATAGTAAAACCCAACTTCAACCCAACACAACCACAACCACAACATAACACAACGCACACTTGAGCACACACACGCACACACGCACACACACACACCACGCAAGATATGCCGTATGGCGCGCCGCAGGCAACACACAACACAAACAAACACACACACACACACACACACAGAAAGAGAATCGCAAGTGGGCACACAACAAACAGGCGCACACAAACAACACACAAACGCGCACACACACACACACATACAACAAGCAAGCACAAATCATAGCAACACACAACACAAACAACACCACAACGCACCACAGCACAACGCAAAACAAACACACAACACACACAAACCGAGGACAAAGCACACAACACCGCCCCTCAGACACCACACCTCCCACAACACACACACACAAACACACAACCACACAAACACAAACACACACACACACAAGCACACAAGCACACAAGCACACAAGCACACCAGCGCACAAGCACACAAACACACAAACACACAAACACACAACCACACAAACACACAACACACACAACACACACAAACCGAGGACAAAGCACACAACACCGCCCCCTCAGACTCCACACCTCCCACAACGCACACACACACAAACACACAACCACACAAACACAAACACACACACACACACACAAGCACACAAGCACACAAGCACACAAGCACACAAGCACAAAAGCACACAAACACACAAACACACAAACACACAAAAACACAAACACACAAACACACACACACAACACGCACAACACACAACACACACAACACACACACACACATACAAACACACCACACACACACACACAAAACACACACACACACACACACACACACACACACACACACACACACACACACACACACACACACACACACACACACACACACACGTGCGCGCGCGTGTGTGCGCGCACAGACGCGCGCACACACACAAGCACACCACACAAACACACACAAATAAACAGACACACACACACACACAAACACACACACAAACAAACAAGCACAGACACGCAGACACACAGACAGACAGACACACCACACAAACAAACAAACAGACACACCACAAAGACACGTAGACACACTAATGCACACACACACACCCCACACACCCCACACACCACACGCACATACACACGCGCGCGCACGCACGCACGCACACGCGCACGCGCACGCGCACGCACACCCAAACCCAAACCCACACCCACAAACTAGCCAATTAAAACGATATGCATGCTGCCACTCTCCCCACCTTTTCGATGCAATTTCCCGAAGACTGCTCCAAATGGCATTTTGCGATCCCCCTGAATTTGCCTGAATTTGACAATCGGCACGAACCCTGCCTCCCCACTTCCACGAAACCTTGAGGGCATATTTCTGTTCAATATCGGAGGCTTGGCTACTCCGATCGTATCCCAATATTGAAGCCACTAAGCCACCCCTTGCGTCGCCAATTCGAAGAAAGGTCTCCGACATGTCCTTACAAACCTCCTAATTCACTTCCTGAGGGATTGGCCAGAAGAAGTCTGAACTTTTTGATGACCACTAAAATGGTCTTCCCAAAGAGTTTGAAGTCCAGGAACTCAGGAAGTGAGTTAAAGGCACATTTGGATACCCCCAGCTCCCTAACAGCTCCCTTCCAACCAGCAGCTATAACTGCAGATTCCCCTTTTCCCCCCCCTTTCTGTGTATCATCTGGTTCCAGCGTGACCAGCCAAAGCCCAAACGCCCTAAAAAAAACGTGCCCGCAAAGACTCGTGGGCTGATGGAATCCCTGATCCTAAAGGAGCCGCCTGGATGATTCCAACTCAAGAAAATTCCATGGGCCGTCAACCTCAGGCATGCAAAAAGGCACCCACGACTTAAAGTATCAAACTCTCAAACACCATTTTCATGTCTGTCTGTTTCTAGGCGACTCCTCCAAAATGTGGCGGTATTCATTGAAAAAGCCACCCAAAATAGGAGGGGTACCCTCCAAGAAAGGCACGCATTCCGAGAAAAGAAGAAGAAACAAAACGTGGGCACCCCCAACCGAGCGGCAGACCCCCCCCCAAAAAAAACAAACACCAACCTACTCGCCTCAAAGAAACGGGGGGCAAGCCCCCCCCCCCTTTTCCCCCCCCCTCCCGGCCCCCGGTCCGATGTTTGAATCGGCGCTCGAGCTGCTGGCGCCGAAGAAGGCCGCCTTCTGGGCCACGATCATACTGTCGCCCAAGATGGACTCCGAGCCGCCCACCATGAAGAGCAAGGGCGGGATGCCCCCGCCTACCGAACCACTGGCGCGAATAAATGGCGGGTAAAAGGCGCGAATGGAAGAAAGGGAACAAAGCCACCGAAGAGGCCGCACCAAGGTTCCCGATGACATGGTTTTTGGGCTAAGAAAGGACACCGCAGGTTTTTTGAAGGGCTTCGATTTGTTTTGCAACAAATGGGATGGACAAAGCAGGACTTTGAGCAAGCCACCCATTGCCAAAAGCAAGAGTCGGACAGAATGTGCAAAGGAAGCGCTTGCCTAGCCCCAGCTTGAGATCGATCCAGCGCGAGAGTTGCTAGATTTGCCCTTCCCCCCCCGCGCTTTGCGCACGTCATGTGATTCGAATGGCTCGTCCAGCACACCTCAACCTCACACGCGTATCACCCAAGTTTCCCACAATCTGATCATCATGTTCTTCGCCAATCCCGCTCCTTGATCTGCAAGGCTCACTTTTCTGGCCTAGCCTAGCCCTAGCTCGAGCGACGGGTAGGCCTTCCCGGCCACTTCTACACGTCTTGCCAGGCTGGTAGCTGCACGTGATTGGAATCTCGGATCAAGTCCAGTGGTCGAAGGGTATTTGTTTTCCCTGGGCATTTCGGCACATTTCCGGATAAAACCGTGCTATTTTGAATGCAATCCCAGGGTGCAATACCAACAAAAAAACACTCAGTGGGTAAAAACGATGGGAACCTCCGCTAAGCCGAGGGTTGGTTCATGGCCTGCACCTGGCGTCACTCGTGCTGGCGGCAGTTGTTGCATGGCTTGGCTTGTTGAAAGAGGGTATCGCTCATCCGGATCCGTGCCGCGTAGTGAACCAAAAGCATCGCTACTTCCAAACCCCTCCCCAAGGCAAAATTGAGTAAATAAGCCCTATACAACCACTATATACAGGCCACCAAGTAGGCTACCTATACGATGTTCCCTTGGGAGTGGCTGTGGGGTAGTGGACATTTTAGGAAGCACGAAAACCAAACCTTCATAGCCACTATGCAAAGGCTAGCTGACCATTTCCCTTGGGGGTAGTGGTGGTTCGCGGACACCATCTTGGAAAAAGGGGTTCTCTCCCCCCCCTCCCCAAAGAAAAAAAACAAAAAACGCAAAAACAAAAAGAAACAAAACCAAAACCACTCCCAAGTTGATCAGCCCCAAGGCCACCAAGCGCCTCCAAGCTCCTTCTCCGTCCCAAAGAAGGGCGAGGCCACGGGGTCCGTCAGCAAGCTGTCGTCACTTCCCACGTAGCCTTCGCGAGACCGGTGCAACGTGGCCAAGCCTACAACTTGGCTGTCCGGCTTCAGATCCCCCGCTAGGTTGTGCGACTTGTGGGAAAATTCGCAACCCACCAAACCGTAAAACCTAAAACCTGGGGGTGGCTGGGAACCACCAAGTTCAGAAAGTTGGGTCCCGCCAAGTGGTTGGCTGTTGCTTGTTTCCATTTGGGGGAGAAAGGCCTAGGTGGCCATGAAGTCGAAGAGCTATTGGAAGCACCCGGCCTAAATGCGGTTCAAAGGGTCCCCGATGAACATCCACGCCCACATATGCGACACAAATTATGTTGGCGGAAAGCCGCACGCGCAAAAAAGGAACGAATTGGCGACCTGGTGCCATGTACTGAACTGGGACTGAGCCATCAACTTACCTGCTCCAAGCCAGCTGCCGCCTTTCAGCGGGCACCGCGAAAATTTCCCGGTGGAAAACGAGTGAAAGCACCTGTAGGAGTCTTGGCACTGAACTGAGCCATTTCAAAAGCGTCACAGCTGATTTCATGTCTTCTGCGCCAGGACAAAAACACCAATCTGCTCAAAGTAGCTGAGGTGTCACCTCCCTTCCTGAGTGGACTGGCCTAAGAAAGGTGGCCAAACTGCGTATTTACCGCTCAACATGGTCAAAATTCCAACAACGCTTCAAATCCAGGAACTTCGGGAGTGAGCAAACCGCATATTTCATGCACTGTGCCCTCACTTACCACTCCCTAACAACCAAACCCAAGGCGATGGGAACCACCAATCGATTTCTGTAGCCGAAGCCCTTCCCATCTTGGACCTGCTCCATTTCAACGGTTCGTTGAATTTCGGGTCAGATCTTCGGCTTGCCGTGGCGCATCGGCCGGGCGAAAAAAATATTCGTGCCGCGGAGCTCTTGGCGTTGGCCGTGAACTCGTCCAAATTCTCCTGGCGGCGACTTTTTGGGGATTTGGACCTCCAAAATGGCTTGGGGCTTTCTTGTGCTTATCTTTTCTTGATTTGGTAAATGACATCTCTCGTTTTTTCTCGCTTGTGTATGGCTTGGGCTTTCCGCTTTAATCTGTTTAAATAAGATTATACATTATATATATATATATATTATCTCATGTTTTAACCCCCAAATAGCTTCTTTCCTTCTGGTTCCCCTGTATAACCATAACATATGGTTCGCCCGTAAACCAACAAAAAGAGAAGGCCCTCCTCCGGATGGCCGCGGAACATGAGGTCCCCCACGTAGGCAACCCCCGAGCTCGGGTCCCGAAAAGCCTTCTTGTCCACGATCTTGGCGAAGGCGTTGTAGTAGTAGTCCTAAAATTGGAAGGATGCGACCCGTGTATTTCCATGGGGAAAGAAAAATCGGCATCTTGTTCTTGCCTTTTTGGGTTGAATGGGGAAAAAATAGACTCAAGGCATCTTTTTCTCTTTCTTGGGGGTTGATTGACTTTGAAGGAATTGGAACCCGAAACCCCAAAAAAGGAAACCTGGGCTTGACCTGTGGTAACCTGTGCAAACCTTTGGACCCGTGCAAACCTGGTTTCCATTTTGAAATGACTATAGATAATAACAGCTTTCTGCTGACCTGTGGTTTGACCATAAATTGGAAGGAAGGAACTCGTTTGAAAAGTCCTCTGTCACACTTTGGACATTTGCAATGTAAATTGGAAGGAACTCCTTGGGCCAATCCTTTCTCACACTTTGCACATTTGCAGGATCTGTGCAAACTAACCGTTTTGAAAGTGGCTCCAGGCAGCGGATGTCGCTGACCATGTTTCCTCTCCTCCCTCCACCACCTCATAAGTTTCCACTGTTTGAAGGAGCTAGGACGGCACAACAGCACTAGGACGCAAGGGAAGCCACCGCAAACCGGGCATGTCAAACTCGAAATTCGAAAGTGAGCCGCCTTCCAACCCACCCAATCCATCCGAACTTTGAGGGAGAAGCAGCCAACTAAAAGTTCACAGGCACTTAGCTCCAGCAGTTCAGCTCCAAACTCGCCCACGGAATCCAATATCAGCACCGCGATGCAACTGAGCGAGGCTTACCCATCCCCAACCGGCCTCTTTCCAACCATCAGGCATCAAGAGGAGTTTTCTCGCCCTGTCATCCATGGCTGTTTGATTAAAAAAATCGGAACCTGGGCATTGTGACGCTGGCCTTTTTGCCCCGCCAAAGACACATCATGACGATGATGCTGATGATGATGATGATTGTGATGATGACGATGATGACGATGACGATGATGATGATGGTGACTTGGGAGGATGGGGATGGGGATGGTGATGATGATGGTGATGGTGATGATGACGATGATGATGCTGACGATGACGATGACGATGATGATGCTGATGATGATGATGATGCGGATGAATATGACGAGGACTATGATGACGGTGGGTGAGGATGCTGATGATGATGACGATGATGATGATGATGACGATGACGATGCTGATGATGGTAATGCGGATGGTGATGGTGATGGTGATGATGACGATGATGATGCTGACGATGACGATGACGATGACGATGATGATGATGATGATGCCGATGAATATGACGAGGACTATGATGACGGTGGGTGAGGATGCTGATGATGATGACGATGATGATGATGATGATGATGACGATACTGATGATGGTAATGCGGATGGTGATGGTGATGATGACGATGATGATGCTGACGATGACGATGATCGGATCAAGATGATGATGATGATGATGATGCTGCTGCTGATGATGATGATGATGATGATGATGATGATGATGCGCATGGCGATGGCGATAGCGATGGTCATGGCGATGGTGATGGTCATGATGATGATGGTGATACCTTTTGCTTTTATCGGACGAACTCGCCACGGCGCAGGGGTGTCGCATCGGAGGTTTGTCCAAGGGCTGAAGAAAATGGCACCTGCCATGGCCGGACACGAAGGGAAAATCAACAGGCTGCATTTTTTGTTGAAGGCTAATTGAAACACAGGGAAACCCAAGCTTGTTGATTTTAATTCCTTGTTGAAACCTGAGAATCGTTTAAACCATGAATTGTGTTCCCCTTTTAACCCCTTGTTGAAACCGAAACGAGTTCTTCAAACCACAGGGTTGGGCAAAAACAACCGCTTCAGGTGCTAGTTTGAGGCACGCTGCGATGGCGCAGGGGTTGGGGCCGAATTTCATGGCGGAATATTCTACCCAGATGCCATGGTGATGTTCTTGGATCAGAGCTATAATGCGGTTCCGCAGGGATCCGGATGCATGAAACACACCTGAACATGGCAACTTGTCAATGGTGGTTTCCCTTTATCTTGGCGTTGAAAAAGCCACATGTTTCAACTGGTTGCAAAATGAACTTCTTTTAAGGAGCCCTGTTCTGCCAAGAAGAAGGGACTTGATGCATCCGCGAGAACGCAAAAAGAACCGGTGAAGGATCGTCCCCGCGGTGCCCACCAAAAAAAATAGGCCTTTTAAGGGTTCTGAGGTGGTCTTCGTGGAGAGTGGCAAGGAACATGAGGAGGTTACTCTTCATGAGATAGTCCAGATGGCGTTCGAGAAGATGGAGCGAACGAACGAGTAAGTTCAACGATGAGAACATCCCGAAGTCGGACTTGTACGTTCTTGGGGGTCAGGACCACCTCCTTGTACTGCACCACCTAAGAAAGCCTGGAAGGATGATTCCCTATAAACACCAGCAAACAATGATTTCAACCACGGATTCCAAGTGGTGTGAAATGGATTCTGTCCATCCGCAGTATGGGACAATCGAACGAGCCCACTTGTACAGGGCTGCCTGCCAGGATCTGGGCTTGGGCCATCTGCGGCTGTGTGGGCGCCGTGATGGCCACGGGTTGCGGGATCCAGCCGTTGCCTCAGATTCGCGCGACTCCTCCCAAAACTTGGCCCCGGATCCCAGTTCCCCATTTTCACCTTAACTAGTGGATCCCTAGGGCTCTCAACGGGGCACTTGTTCGTTGGTTTTCGAAGTGGATCCCAGGCAAGTGACCTTTCACCAACCATTCTCCGTTTCGGCTGGCTCCCTTGGCTACCTATACAGAACCAACGTTTCTCCTAGGCTGGCTCCCTTGGCTACCTATACAGGTAACTGAAATCCCACCAGGACGTTCCTTTTGGTGGATCCCGGTCCCAGCCATTCGTTGGTGGACCATCTTGCAAGTGCGAAATCGGGAGGGAATGCGCAATGACCGTTTGATACCCGAAAGGAAACCACCAGTTGGAGGGTTGGGGTCATTCCCTCATTCGCGAGCCAGCAAGCTTTGTTCCCAGATCCCAGCTATCGCTATTCACCTTAACTAGTGGATCCCTAGGGCTCTCAACGGGGCACTTGTTCGTTGGTTTTTGCAGTGGATCCCAGGCACCTTCAGTAACCAGCATTTGTCCTTTTGACACTTAAGCACTGGTTCCCTTGGCTACCTGCCATACAGGTGAATGGAATCACTGGTGTTGGTTCGGTTTACAGAAACATCCGGGCGAAAACGTTTTGTTCCCTATGAAACTGTTTGGTTGCCAAACCCTGAACCACAAGGAAACCAACACCCTTTCTGGTCCTCGAAACAAATAAGACACACACACACACCCATCAGGTTCCGTGTTTGCTGAGTTTGCTTGTTCAAGCGAAGCCCAGCTCAATCGCTTCAGATGGAAGAGCCAAGCTCAGGAGCCTTTCACAATCGAAAGGCTGACCGCTGAGCAGTCGGCTTGCTGTAACGACCCCTCCGCAAGAGAAGCGAAGAACATTGTGGGATGCATTCCGGTGTCAAAGGTCCAAGGTAAACCTGTGGTCGCCAAATTGGTGGGTCCAATGGAAAGATCACCAGTTTCAAGCAAACAAGTTGAAGCCCCAAGATCAGATCAGCTACCAAACAGCCATACTCAGCTGCCCAATGGACCCACAAATAAAAGCCAAAGTTGGGAAACCAACAGGTCAGATCAGGTCGATTCGCTTTGGGCAAGTGAGCATATGTTTCAACCAAAGAGTTGAAGTCCAAAGATCCGTTGCCATATAGCCATAAGGCTAAAATGGTCCAAGCCCCAAAAGTGACATTTTCGTCCGGTGGCTAAATAGTTCCAAATCGCCACACACGTCCATTTGCTTGAGCCGCGTGGAACATTTTGACGTATGTCCAGTATTGTCCAGTAGTGCAATCGATCTCCTATACAAAACCACCAAGGAAACCCAAAAAATCATCTTCATGAAATGCACATGGAAGTACAGCTTCGCCCTGCCTTTTCATAGAACTCGCCCGTAAGGGGTCCCAACAAGGCCTTCTGAGAGTAATAAGGGAGTTAGTTACGCCTCCCCCCCTCCGCATAAACCCTACTGTAATGAGGCCTGGGGCTAACAAGGGAGCCCCCCCCTCCATACCCAACAAAAAAGCTCGGGGCGCTCTTCTCCCCCTCCCCCTCCCCATAAACCCCTTGGTCCATAAAGCAATTGCGCCTCCCCCCTCCTCCATAAACCCCTTGGCATAAAGCTCGGGGCGCTCTTCTTCAGCACCAGCGTGAGGCTCACCGCAGTGCCACCCCCCGCCGAGTCCCCGCCGATGAGCAGCGGCGCGCTGCCCGGGCGGCACCTCATGCCCAGCTCCGCCTCCGCCAGCCAGCGCAGGGCGTCCAGGCCCGCCTTCCTGCAGCCCATGGAGCCCATTGGCGGCGCTTCCTGTGTCTCCCATTTAAACCCTTTAAAGACCACCCCACCAAAAGGAAGGTCCTGGTAATCGGGAAACTAGCCCAAAGGCAATGTCCCAGCCACCAAAAGGGGAAATAAATATAGGGAGTCCTGATGAAGCCCATGCCATGCGAAACGAAAAACGCGTGGACCAACCAAACCCACACGAGGTGGTTAAAAACACCAATGCTTTGCAAGTGGCAAAAAAGCACGTTTCCAGGTTGAAAAGGATATATTTAAAAACACGCATGCTTTGTAAGTGGCGGAAAAAGGAGGGAAACTGTCTGTCCCAAACAATCGGTTTCTGAGGCGTTTGGAAACCCAAAGAAAAATCCCCACCCCACACGGGGCAGGGAGGTGATTTGGCCCGCAATCAGCCAATATGTTTCATTTCTCCCTACAAACGAAGGGCAACAGGGTTCCAAGCTGAGAAAAGATGCTACCTTGGCTAGCGGCCATGGGAATGGCCCTTCCCTCGGACACTTCTCTCAAAGGTATTCAGATAAGACATCCGCAAACTACGGCTGAGCGGTATTTGTCAGGAAGCGTGTGCAGCTTTAGCCAGAACCGTGCCCCTCAACGCATGCCGCACGTACAAGTGCACTGACCGCGTGCCACGATCTAGCAACCCAAGCGTCCTTGGCAGTTTCGGCAAGATAAGCAGCACAAAAGTAAGACGGATCGCACATGTAGGATGTTTGCAACCACAAAAAGCACAGGGAGGGGCGTGCAAAAACGCGTTGCAGCCCTGGGCACTCCACCACAAGGTTGCGAAAGCACACAACGCAGGGCGGAGGGTGGAGTTCATCCAATCAACAGTGGTTGAATTGCCGGTCTTTGCATTTGAGCAAAACACACAACCCCGAAACCTTCACCTCGAAACGTTTTTCAAAGGGGCGAGTGGGATCCTCAAAAAGTTGCCAGCTGCACCCAAAGGAAGCCCCGTCAAGCATGGAGGGATATGCACCAGCAGGCCGGCTCAAACAAACACAGCCTTCCGGCATCTCAGCCAAACGACTGAAACATGAGGACCACTAAGCATATCAAGAATGTGGATTTGCAAGCCGTAACAAGTGGCCGGACTCAAAGCTTGTGGCTTTGAGCGCTGCGATGGAAAACGGAAACCAAGAACCTCGCGGAACCTCTTGGATAGCTTCTTCCGTTCTGATTCTGCATCTTGCAGGAGCCAAAATTTCTTGCGGCCAACCCCCGCCCCCCAGCCCCCGTCACCCATGTCTGCTGGCCTAAGATCCTGGCGGGCCTTGAAACTTTCAGGGTTCGTCGGCGTCCAGCTCCATATTTTGTCGCAAATGCGCTGGGAATGACGAACTCAGCCCAGCCCGTCCAGCTGGGCAGGCCCGTCAACCAGCGGCGCAATGTTTGAGACTCGCCCAACCAGCACCGGAAGGGACACGTCAGACAAACCAGCCTCGTCTCAACCTGACATGTCGGAGACTAGACTCACATGTCTGAACTAGCCTCAGGCCCAGAACCAGCAGCGCAGTCCGGCTGCCCAATTTTTGAGACTTGCCCAACCAGCAAGCCACCCAAGTCAAACAAACCAGCCTTGTCTCAAGCTGACATGTCTAACAGACGCTGCGCGCTCGGCTGGGCCGAGGCGGGCAACGCGCAGCGTTTACAATTGCCACATACTCTTCCGAACCGTTTCTCGTGCGCAAGTCATCCTGAAACGGTGCATTTCAAGGCTTGAGCACGTTGCTTCGATGCTCGCGCCCTTCCAATTTTGCACAACTGCCAGAACTGGAGAACCCGGTGGCAGGCTGCGCAACATGCTTGGGACAGTGCTAGGCTTGCTGCTAGCTGTCTGTGCCAGCTGTGCTCATGCTGCTTGCAGCAGAAAGACTTGCATGAGTTGGTCTGAAAGGCGGGAGCCCACAATCTCACGCCCTGGGTAAAAACACTTTCAATAGGTATGGATGGGAAGGTTCGCAAATGTACTTCTCAGGCCCACCCTTTGGCCCTTTGGAGCTGCAACTTCAACCCCAATTAAGTTGCAACTCAAGGCTCATGATCACATGGTAGTCCCCCACCGGCGTCAGAGGAAAGTCGGGCACCATCACGATGGCGTCAGAGAGCGAGGCAATCTTGGAGGCGAGCTGGCCGTAGGACAGGGTGTCGGGTGACCCATACTCCCAACCTCAGCCCGAATTGCATCCGTCATCTCAGCTTGAAGCCCGGCGGTTTGGAGGCGTTCCAGGATGGCTGCCCATGCATGCAACAAGAGCCAACAATGCCAATCCCCCCGCCAACTGAGGGATACCTGACCATCTGCACAAGGTGGGGGTTCATTGCTGTCAAGGACTCCCCCTTGCCCGAAGGGGGAGGGGTGCAGGGCAATTCCATTTATCCAGTCCTCCCCGAAAAAGGGAAAACGGGTTGTCAGGGGTCACCCCGCTCCCCCAATTCCATTTTTATGGGGCTGGGGATGTCAAGGAGGCCTTCGTAGAAATTGCGCAGCTGTTCTTGTCCCAGCAGCCAATACTTGTCATTACAGATGCCTACCTAAAGAATGCGAGGGTAGCCAAGCCAACACTACACGCCACACAAGTTCAGCGGCCACGCAAACAGATTCAAAGGCCAGCTGGGGTCAGCAAAAACAGTAAGCCCATGCGCACAGACTGACCGGAACCTAGCAGGAAGATTCAGTCTTCAGCAAATATGACATATGACCGAATAAATGACAAGCTCCCTGCAGAATCAAAGGTCTCACAATAGAAGTGCCACGCCAAATTACGCAATGGCGCTCGCACAATCCACGAAGGCAAAGAAAGCGAACTGACCCAATTGATCACAAATGCCGATGGAAACACACAAACAACCCGCCGGTTGCTCGCATTGCACCCCAATAGGATCCATGTATACATACCCCTTTCCTTCCCTATCGCGACGCATGCAACTATGCCCACCGCTGGCGGGCCGGCCCTCTCAGCTAGCTGGGGGTCAGCTATGGGGCGTCGCTGTTAATACTGGTCACCCAACGAATTAAGCCTCCGCCCCTAGGCGCAAAACAAGCGAAGACGGCGTTAACTGAGTTGACTGCTCGGCATTCCTCGCATTCCACACATGCACCCTTTGCTGATCCTCTGTAGTTTTGCGTAAAGGTCGCGGCTACACACATCATCTGACATTCGCACACTTTTCGCAGCTGAACGCCGAAAACCGAGCGACCCAATGTTTTTGCCCAGCCACTGCCACCGTGAATCCACATGAGGCGAGGAGTGTCGCATGTTGCCTTGTGCGGTATCCACAGAACATCGTCCTTGGCAGGAGAAGGCCACAAAAGGAACAAGATGACCATTCTGACCCTTGCTCTAGCAACCGATTTGGAGTTTTGTCGATCCACCCGAGCAGGATATTAAAAGAGTATTAAAGATTGCTGCTAGAAAAGGACCAGGTGAAATCCATAAAATGTGCATCCAAACCGTTTTCTATCCTTGGTGGGCGTTGCACCTTGTTGGGTATACATCTGGATTCCTTTTTAGGGCTTTGACAGCCTGATCAGGCAGGCAGGTATACCATGGAGACTGCTTCCCGACAACCTCCACCCAAAGCTCTCCATCGGTTAGCTAAACAGTTGGGTTGCCGCGTGTTTCGCGTGCGTGACAGTTGAACATTTGGCCCCGCACTTCCCTGCTCCAAACATATGGGTGGCTCGTCTTTTTTCAGGTTGTACCCCCCAAGAATGGCGCTTTTCTTTTTGGTGTCCCTTTAAAACCAACAAAAAAGAGGTACCCTCAACAAAAAGACAGGCCCATATCAGCCTTATTGACAAGGTTCTGCTGTGTTTGCCCTCAATGCTCCAAGCGGCCCCGCGGTAGCCCTTCACATCATCGTAGCAATCCTTGCCGCAGAGCCATCCCACGCCAGGCCGTCTCACCACCTGCTTGCGCACGCCTTTGCCATACTCCTGGCACAGCTGAGGCGAAGCGCAAGGGGAAGTCTGCCCGTTGGCTCAAAGGCACTTGACACGAAAAAGGACCGCCCGAAGCGCCAGGACATGGCCAAAGCTACGACTAGGTCCAGTTGAGAGGTTAGACTAAGGGTAACCACTTTTTTATGTTGTGGAGTTTAGTAGGGGAACCCAAAACCCCAAAAAGGAAACGGGAACAGGGCAAGCTGGGGGACCTAGACTAGATCCCTTGGGATTTTTTGCCGCTTACGGCCTGGTCCAAGCAGCAGCTCGAATTCTTCACCAGCTCCCGGTAGCAAAAGCCCACCGTCTCCGAGATCAAGTCCTACCAGAAGCGACCCAGATGGAGTCTGAGGGTAGTGGGCGAGCGTCGGGCTCTGGGTCGCTCTTTTCTGGGCTGATCCCCCGCAAAAAGTGTTTAAGTCTGGGGGTAAATACGGAAACTACCACTAAACACTAAAAAGGTAAAAGGCTAAGGGGATGACTCGGAAGCCACCAAGTTGTGTGGAAGGCATGGTGGTGGGGCTTGTACGCGAGTTAGCTCAAGGTTCACGACCAGATTGAGTTGCGCTGGTTGCTTCCCGAAGGCGCTTCGTGACATCAGCACGCACTTCCATGACCCTTCTCCGCCCACAGCTTTCTCTCTGCGGAAGTAGCTTGCTCGATCTTGCTTTTGCTTTCGCGGCATTGCTTTTGCAAACAATGTCCGCGACAAAGGTTTACGAAAGTGTGTTTGTGTGTGCGCGAGCTTCAAAAAAACTCAAAACCGAACTGCGTAAACAAGCCTACACGATAAGTCCCTGAATGCATCACGTCCGCATGATGTGTCGACTGTTTGGATGGCTAGGTGCGCGCTGGGCTCTATGCCATCTTCCCCCTACAGCTTGGGCGAACAGGGTCGCCAGCAGGTGCAAAACCGTGGAAGCTAAAGGTCCGCTCAAGTGATAAGAACAACCTCCCAGTCAAAGGATGTCAAGGATTTCTTTACCCACACCCCGCTTAGGAATAGCCATGCTTCAGGGAGAATAAGGCCAAGTAAGGCTCATTTGATGTGAAGCCGTACTTGTTGGGGCTTAAAATCCAGAAACCATGCTTCAGCTTAAGAACGTTCGGCTTCTGGCCCAAGCGAGGTGTCGCACGCAAATCCCTTCGAGGGGGTCCACGACTGCAATGCAGATCTTTCCATGTCGCGCAAAAACAATAATCACCCTGGCAATGCGCTGCCAGCCTAAAGTGGAGGTGTTTCTTCTTGCTTCGCGTGAAAACAGCTAGGCCTATCAGATAAGTGCCCCCCACTGAAGCCGAAGCGCTCCTGTTGGCCAGGCATGGAAGCTATCGAAAAAGCATTGCTGCAACATGATTCTTGTGAAGGGCTGATGTTGCCTTACTTACCTAGGTCCTCCAGTAGAGAAGTTAGAATAAGGGTGCCCTTTTTTCTGTAGTCTATTTTAGTAGGGGAACCCTCCCAACCAAAAAAGGGTAAAAGGGCACCTATCTGGGGGACCTTACTTACTGAAACAGTCTGATGCATGCCCAAGCCTTGCTGACCACCACAACGTTTTGGCATGGCAAGGTACAAATTCGCAACTTGGGCCGTGCATCAGGGCAAGCACCGATGCCCAAGGAGCCTCGGTGCAGACCTGTATGTACAAAATCCCACTCGCATCAGGAAGCCCATTCGGAATGATTTTAAGATTCCCCTGTAAATTGCCAACTTGCACATTCTGGTTTCAACTTATGGTGGTGCGAAGGAGATGCGTCCATGGAATGCTTTGATTCCCAGTTTGACTCCCTGTAGATACCAACGCACATTCTGGTTTTAACTATGATTCGTCCATAAACCATCATGTCCCATCCTCGTAAGGATAATGCTGGATGCTCTTCTCGGGGCTTGGGTGGGCGTTGGCTTTGGCGTCGATCGGAGCCGGACCGGCAGCGCACGTCGCCAAGGACGCCAGCGACCAGATCACCCGAGCCATGGCCGGGTTGGGGTCGCTCGGCCGGAACCGTGGCTAGGTCCTCCAGTAGAGAAGTTAGAATAAGTTGGTACCCGATTTTTTTTTCTGCAGCCTATTTTAGTAGGGGAACCCTCCCCGAAAAAAGAGCGAGAAAGGGCACTACTCGGGGACCTAGGTGGTTTTAAGGTTTGAGCAACGTGGGATGAAGAGTCGTGGAAGACACAAAAAATCCGCCATGACCAACATGCTTGCTCGTAAGGAATGACCCAGTTGGGAATGAACCCTTGAAGGAAATCGCAGGGGATGGGTTCTAGGGGCCATTCCCTCATTCGCTGCGGAGAACCAGGCATGAAAGACTGCCTGTCAGGCTACAGTAGCGGGGATTCCATTCCCTGCTCCTTTTCCATGGGTCCCTGCAAAGGCAAGTACCAAACCACCGGAGAGGTTCTTCATGCCTCATGCTTCATGCTTCCTGTCATCCATGTGGCCTCGAGCAGGAACATGGGTCTAGAGTCGTTTCCCAGTTTGGGACAATTCCTTTGCCAATAGAAGAATCTGGTGAGTAATCCTTTCCCATGGAACCACTTAAGTGGAGCTCGCTGAATGTTCAAAAGGGACCAAGAAAAGCCATGTAGGAGACGCGATTTGAAATGACGGTTTCCGAGAATTTTCCTTGCAAAAGCAGCGTCCACATTGAAATGCCCATTTTAAGGCACAAATCCATGGACTCCCTTTTGTCGGGATTCCCCATGCTTGATTCCGGAGGCACTAGCTTCTTTTTGCAGGCCCATGCATAGCACCAATTATCCCCCCAGTTTGTCACAATGGTGGCCCGTTTGAAGGTTTAAACGAGAAACCACCCAAAGGGACGCAACCCATCTGGCGGCCCCCGTATTTTGAGAATCCCAGCTTTCCTCTCGCAAGGCCCATTGGTGTCACTTCCTTTTCTACCGCGGCTTCGGCCGAAGTCGGCATGGCACCGTTTGGCGTCATGCCCAACCGTGCAGCCCACACGTGTCCGAAAAAAAGTCGGAAAAAATAATAATAAAATCTCAGCAAAAAAAGGCAGAAACGGGGGGAACAAAAAGAAAACGTCTCCTGTTGGTCTTCGGCAATCGCCTTCAAAGGATCACTGGATCACCGGACTTCCCCTTCACAGGTGGCAAGAAACCCCAGTGTCTTTTGGAGGTTCCAAAAGGGGAGATGAGGAACCGCAGGACTTAGGGGGCGTTTTGGTCAAAGATTGCAAAGCCCCAGGACAAAACTCCAAAACGCCCATTGGAGACACATACAGTCACCCCCCAGCAAAAAACGAAACATCCTGATAAAGTGATCCACAATCTTCCGGCAAGACAAGTATACTGCCACTCACTTGGACCCAGAAATAAAAGGTTAACCTGGGCCATGACTGAAACTAGACCAAAAAGGAGAAACCAAAAGGTCAAAAGGTTGGCTTTGGGCAGAGGCCAAGGCCAAATGCAAACCGGAACTGCTCGGTTTTCACTCACGTTTGCCGGGCCATGAAGTCGTTCTAGGGATGGGTTCCATGGGTCATCGTTTTCTTTTTAACTGAGCTAGGCTTAATGCGGTGGCTCGGAAGTAAAGAGCCAGGATTTACGCAGGTCTGAGTCTTTGGTGCCATTTGCTCCATGTTCTTGAGCCACAGCCAGTTGGACCCCACAGAAAGGCCAATCGGAGCAACTTGTGGGCCGCACGGATCCCCTCTTTGTGAGGCGATCGATCTGTGCCGATGTGCCCCGCGCCAATCCCCGCGCTCATCGCATCGAGTAAACCCTCGCCTCGCCCTTTTCCAGCGCAACCACCAGCTGGCCCACCACCCCAGGATTCACCACCTCGGAAAAAAAAGGGCGTCAAGAATCGGGTCGCGCCTTACTTAAAATTTGGAGGTGGACATGCTGGGCATTTATGATTTCATGTCCATTTAAATGTTCAAAGCGTCCCATCGGATTGCAAATGCCGTCCGGTCACAATCCGGCTTTTGGCCAAAGCTTTCTCCGACCGAAACTTCGAATCACGGGCTTCTTTTGCAAGGCACAACCGATTCACGCAAGCATTCTGGACCCAATTCAGAGCAAGCATTTTCTCAGCCAATGACAGCCAATGCTTGCTTGCTTGTGCGCCCTATGTCCTGATGATAAGCAACTATAGCTCCCAAACAAATCACTGTTGACAAACAAGAAAATGCGGCTGTCTCATGCAAGTGTTTTGCCGAAAAAAAGCTGCCCTTGATAACCAAATGGTTTGGGCCGGCTGCATGTTCTGTGCATCGTTTCTGTCTGTGAAGCAATGGCAGTTCACACCTTGTGCTTCATTCCAAATGACTGACATGATGTTGTTGCTGCAAACTCACATGGCGTGATCACGCGCGTTGCACCTCAATCCTTGAAAAGCATCGAGCCTTCTCCAACGGACAACTCTCGCAATACATAACTCAGTTGCCCGAAGGACCCACATATAAAGGCTTAGGGCCATTCAAAAGATTGTTGCACCTCATGTCCCGCTTCGCGCCGATTTGACATGCCTGAGGTACCAAGAAAGTCGGCGTCAGTTGGGGTGTCCGAGTGCCAGAAGCTCAAGACAAATTTGGCAAATCGAGGACTGAGCTGGAAGTCGGGTGAGGGACTCAGATTCAAGCTTGTAAGGACCAGCACAACAACAACTCTCCGTGCCCCGGACAACAAAACAAGTGCACTGTTCAGGGGGCCGCTGGCTAAAGTTGCGCAGGTTCGTAGAATATGTTGTGAACTCTAGTGGCTCGAAAGGGTATCACAATTTCAGAAACGGTGTGCGTCCTGCTTTGAGCCTAGGAAGACAGTCTCCTTGGCGGCAATGCGCCGTGGGTGGCTGCCAAGCTGGTAAAAATAACCTACTAACATGACGCCCTGGAAGATGTTTTTTTGATTTATATATATATATGTATATATTTAATGAAGAGTCCGGGGGACCCGGTCAGATGCCATGGCAAAAAGTGGTTTGGAAGGGAAGAGACTGGCCCTTTGTGTGGTCTTGGCGGCCCTTCCACCAGCCTCATGGACATGCAGTAGCAAGAAGGCTGACGCCGAAATCAAAGGGTTGGGATACAGGACATTCTACAGGACAACAGCTTATTTAGGGTGTTTTGGGGCCATTTCCTGTAGATGTTCCTGTAACCAAGCCCTTTGACAAAATCAATGCAACTTAAACACACTAACAACAAGCCACACATGACACACCAGGATCCGCGTCACTCCCCAACTTTGGCTGGGCCTTTTTCAAAAAGACCATGTCTTCTGCCGGTTTCTTAAGTTGGGCCTAAAAAGTAAGGAACAAACAAAATGACGTCTGGAACCCAGAGGCACAATTGCAGTAACTTGGGCCTGCATTTGAGGCTCCTCTAAAGCAGAAGCGGCTCTTGGATGTCTACCGAAACCCTGAGAAAGAAAAAAACAAAAAACCTCAGCAGATACGCCTAAACATCACCCGGCTGTCAACAAACAAACGGCCAACATGTCTCCTTGGCCGTTGGAAGCACCAATGTGCGGGCCTTCGGCCTGGTGGGAAACTACGCCTTGGCCCTTCACTCGGGTTCAAATCCCTAGGGGGAGATCCGAGAGGCTAAGCTTCCAGGCCTCTACTCCCCCCCATTGCACCTACTATCCCCCCCCCACCCACCAACCCCCCACCAACCCCCACCAACCCCCAGCAACCCCCAGCAACCCCCCCCACCCACCCCCCCACCTACACCCCCCAAAGCCCTCCATGAATCGCGTTTCCGCGTTCGGGCGGGACTCCAGGGAGTTGATCTTGCCCCCCTCGGCGTCCAGCTGGCAGAGGGCCGACCGCGTGCCCAGCTCCCACAGGATGAAGCGCCCGCTGGCGTGGGCCGAGTACAAGGCGCTGCCACCGGGGATGATGTCCTCCACCCGACCGACTTCGACCGGGGGGGGGGGGGAAGGGGGGGGGGAGGGGGGGGGGGCATCTTTGGGCATGTGTTACAGCCTTTTTTTGGTCAGGCGAAAAAAAGAAAAAAGACAACACAAAAAGGAGGTATGTCCTCCGCAGGGTCCCGCACTTTTTGGCTTTTTGTTGGTCAGGCAAAAAGAACAAGAAAGGCGGGAAACACTCGGGAAATCCGGAAAAGATCGCCTGCTTTTTTTTCAGATCCTGTGTATACATGCGTCCTCCCCTAGAATGTCGAATTGTTTGGACGGAGATCCCGTGATTTCCTCTTAATCCCGGCTTGGTACGGGGAGGCATTGCAGCCCAGTGACTATGTGTGAGCCATGACTTTCCCATAGCTCCCCACAGAGGCTCTGAAGCATTCAGTTCAGCGGTTCCGCAACCGCTTTCCATGAGTTCCATATGGGAAGTTTAGGGGAAATGGCCCCAGGGAGAAGATGCCAGCCAAATGATGTGCTCGCATGATGTCTCTATTGTGCTGCGAGATCACACATGATTGTAGAACTTGTCAGGACCAACAAATTAGAGGATATTCGGGAAGAGCAATTCATAGTTGTTCAGGCCGAGGTTGCGATGTTCGATGTCTCAAACACCGATCACGGCACCATGGCCCATGAGATCCCATGAGTAAACAGGCACCCCTTCCCCCGTTGTGTCATTCGCTGGCAGAGGTTCTTCGTGTTCTTTCTCGCCGCGAATTTCCGTGCCATCAACGCCTCATCCGGCGCTGAACTCCCAACGTGACACATGTCGGCAGCTCCTGTCAGCATGTCTTCCGAGCCTTCTCAAGGGGTCTTAATATAAGGTTGTCTCAAATTAGGGGCACGGGCACACCGGGAATGGCAACGCTTTCCTTTTGGCTTCCCTTCTAAACCAAGCAAAAAGGGACCCCCACAACACACACACACACACTTGTGAAATCCCCCCTCTCTCGGTCCTTGTTGTGTCTCATTTCTTCTGCGAGGGTCAGGATCAAGCCCAGTGGGCACACATGCACTTTAATTGATTGAGTGGAGTTTCGTCATCCTTGGGCTCTACTCGTCAGGGCCACAGACTAGACCCAAGGATGGCTGTGGCCTACTCCACATACTTGGAAAAGAAATGGAAACCTCGACAATTTGCAAAGACTTCCAGCTTGCGAGTGTGACAAAGAACTCAGATCAGCCCTTGGCAACAGGGATGGACACACACAATCAGCCACGCGGCACTTTCGCCATGGACATTGCAGCCTGCGCAGAACCCAAATCCCACCGCTGGCCCCAGCCGGGTGTGTAAAACGCCCGCGGGCCAAACTAAAATGAACAAGACGTGAAAAGGCTCCAAACCCTGTGACCTGTACAGAGCCAGACGCGCCGCAGTCACCGCGACTTGCAAAGAGAATCGCAAAAGGGCCAAAGGGATCTTGCGCAAAGCGAGGAAAAAGAAAAAGAACAAGAAAACAACAAAAAGAACGAACAGATCCGAGATGCTCCACTAACGCCGGGGCCCCGGCCGGGTATTCAAATCACCCGCGGGCCAGAAAAACCGACGGTTTGCTGCAGGTCTAAATGGCGAATTGCAACGACGGCCTAGACAGCAGCAAAAAAATACATCGGGGGGATTACGGCCTCTCAGACCCAATGGGCATGCTGGTTTCTGAAGCGATAGACATCGCTGGCAGTCTCCGTTGTGCTTCACAGCACTAGCCATGAACTGGCAACTGAGTGGGAAGACTCCCAAAGCTTGGCGGAACAAAGGCAAGTTCCAAACAGACCTGGGGACCTCAAGGGTCAAAACTGACATCTGAGGGTCAACTGAATGACCAATGCTGCGCGCGAGCCGATGGCAAGGCTCAATCAAACACAGTAGGCTATCCTACCGCAGGCAGCCCGTTAAACGAACTACTGCCTGGATCACACTTGTGAAATCCCCCCTCTCTCGGTCCTTGTTGTGTCTCATTTCTTCTGCGAGGGTCAGGATCAAGCCCAGTGGGCACACATGCACTTTAATTGATTGAGTGGAGTTTCGTCATCCTTGGGCTCTACTCGTCAGGGCCACAGACTAGACCCAAGGATGGCTGTGGCCTACTCCACATACTTGGAAAAGAAATGGAAACCTCGACAATTTGCAAAGACTTCCAGCTTGCGAGTGTGACAAAGAACTCAGATCAGCCCTTGGCAACAGGGATGGACACACACACACACACACACACTCGGATCTGCGAGTTTTTGCCAACCAAGGCCACGGCGTAAAGCCCCAAGCAGCCGCCATCCCTGGTACACCCTTCCTATAACTGATCGCATTTTCAGGCAGCCGGCCAACGGCACTATCCAGAATCCCGCTCACCCCTAAATACTGTCCAACGAGTCACGTGCTTGTGTTTCATAAGGTTTCCTAGAACGGAGGATCTCCCTAGACATATTCTGGGTACTGTGGATGGCTGAAATCCTGCACCACCTAAGAAACACTGCTCTGATTCCCCTGTAAATAATAAGTAATTTTTTCTCATGGTTTCAAAATGCATCAGGATGTCGTCCATCATCAGCATTGCTTGGTTGCTGTTTGCAAAGACTCTTCTTCTTTTTTTTGGGTGGGGGGGGTAGTGGAAAACCCCTTGATGTCCCAAAAAGTTTTAAAGCCAAAAGATCCAACCCAATAGCCGTCAAGAGTCAAGATTGCCCCCGCGACCCCGGCGCCAACCCGCCCGTTCGAAAACCGGCCCCGGTCCATCGCTAAGATGGGCCCCGCAAAGGCTGCGTAGATGGCCCCGAGCGGCTTGCCCGTGGACGCCTGGGGCCAAAACCAAGTGGCGCCGCACGGTTCTTCTACTGGTTGCTCCTTGTAAACCCGAAAAAAAAAGGGGGGGGGGAAGCACCTCTAAAACACCTCACTGGTTGCCAACAAAAAAGGGGGGAAGCACCTCTAAAACAAGACACGCCCACGTGATGCCCAAGCCAAACTATGGCTCTTGTGGTTGGAGCTTGTGCCTTTTGTTTGTGGCTTAAGGGAATCAAAAGGAACACCGAGGCCATTTTGGGGGTCCAAATTCAAACACGTCTGGCCCAAAAGGGAAGGTTCGGCATTCCCTGGCTGAATGCCAGCAAAACCAGTGACCATCACCAACTGAGCAACTTACCCCTTAAGACTCCAAGCCCTGGGGAAGTTAATCTTTTACAGACATATACCCCATGTTACCCCCAAAAAGTTGAAAAGTTGTGTTTTTTAAGAAGTAAGGCAATAAACATCCGCATTGACCAAGGCAGAAACGAACTGGCAGTCCCAGCAAACTCACATCGCCAATTTGGTGCGAAGTATTTACAGTGGCGCCAAGCCAGCCCGAACATCTTACCCAAAGGGCGAAGACCATGCCCGGCCGTGGCTTGCCAAAATCAAACGAGGCAACCCCCCGGCAATCGGCAACAAAAAACCAACCCCCCTTCTCACCTGCTGAATGGACGGCCCACAAAAAGGTCCAAACTTTGTATTCACCATAAAATGGCCCAAAACCCAAAAAAGTTCAAAATGTTCAGTCAGGAAGTGAGCCTTTGACTGAACCTTCAGGTTCACCCCTCACTGCCCCCCCACAACCCCCCCCCCCAACCCGCCGAACGCCCTGGCGCCCGGGCGCCTCCCAAATGCGGATCCACCCGTCGTCGCCTCCGGAGTACAACATGTTACCCGCCGGTGCGGAGACCAAAGCGGCCACAGACCCCGCGTGCGCTTTGGAGATGACGGCCACGATGAAGCCATTGTAGGTCCGCCAAACCTGAAACGACACCCTAGGCTGAAAAAACCGGTCCCCCTTAAAAAAATGGTTGGCACAGTTTGGATGAAATTTTGCTTGAGATACTGTGGTTTCATTAACCCCCTTTGCAAGAACCGGAAAAACAAAGCTGGAGCCTTCTTTTGAAGTCTCAGGGCAGGGAGAAAAAAGCGCCGGCCTCCATTGATTTGCGGGGAGGCCTCCTCACACTTTCCATGTGTGAAACAATTCAAAAGGAAACCAAGAAGGAAAACCATCAATAAGGAAACCCAAAGGAAACAAATCAAAAGGAAACCAATAAGGAAGTACAGAACGAAACCATCAACAACAAAAAAAGAGGAAATTTCAAGGATTGAAACAAATCATTTCAAGGACACCAACCATTTCAACTCTTTCGCAACACCATTCTTCCGCAACACTGTCACGGGGACTATTTGGAAACACTAACCATTTCAAGGACCACGATAGATGTCTGCAGCATCTTGGATACTTCGAACATGCGGTATGTGTCTCGTTTCAAGATACTCATGCTTGCGTTGCTTACAAGAATCGCCCATCATTTACAAATCGACACCGCCCTGGACCATCGATCCATGGGCTTTCTGTTAGCCCCTCGCCCACGAACCTTCCAAACAGTTCTCTTGCGGGCGCCCCCCCCCCAACAACAACAACAACAAAAAGTGCCTTCGTGCATTCGGGAGAGGGCATAGGCTCGGGTCGAAGACACAGGCCCAAAATTCCGCCCAACCTAAAAAATTCGCCGGGCGACTCTGATGCTGCCATCCTCATAGCCCACGGCGAACAGGGTGTCCGAAACGATCTCCGCCATACTGGTCACTGCTCCCCAGCCATTGGGCTCGTAGTAGAAGTTCGGCACATCCCCCCAGCGCAGGTTGGTGAAGGTGTTCGTCCAGGGCGCGCCTCGGCCAAAGATCCCTCTGTTAGATCCCAAATATTGCCCTCTGATGAGATCCCTGTAAGGGTCTGGATGGATTTGGGGCTGAAGCAATTCTGGGTCCGGGCTCTGCATAAGCCCAACTTAAGCCCAGGGTGCAATACCCTGCTAGAAATTGGGTTCAGCTCCTCAAGCATGTGAAATGGCATCCGTTGACGGAGATCCTCGATCTGCCTAAGCCCCATTGGGAAGAACATATGTCCAGTGATATCTAAAACCAAACAGGGGACAATAACACAAATATTCATTTCAGCAAATGGAAGAGAGGTGTTGTAAATGTCATCTACTAGGGGCCAGAGGGAAGCCTTGCCAGGCGGGAAATTTGTTTGGATCACGGTGATTGCCAAGGTTCTGGGTCCGGCCCTGTGCAGCTTCTTCTCCGCCAGCGGTAGCCACCAGGGGTACTCGTTCTCCTCCTCCTCACTGCCTGGCGTGCGATCCCAGCAAAAAGTTTGGCTTGTTGCTGGTTCAAAGGATGTATGAGGGGTATCCCAAAAGTTAAAGTCTAAAGATCCAACATAGCAGAGAAGAGGTGTCCGATGTGGCCTGGTTTCATCTCAGATCTCATGCCCAGGCCCCTGGCATGTGACAGAACACGAGCAACGCGTCGGCTGGCATGGGGCTTTTAAATCCGGGCAAACGGGCGAGCCCGGAAGTCGAAGAACCCAACGAGACCATTCGAATAACCAAGCTGGCAGATTTTCAAACATGCGAATCATCTTCACGCTTGGTTTGATGGATTTGCGAGTTCAGGTTGGCATGCATCATCGCCAGGAACCTAGGCTTTTTCCTGCCGGCTTTCCCTCTTGTTGACATTGGGCCTACCAAGGAGGAAATGAAAATGACCGCCCTGTGCCACGCAAGCGATCAAGCGCATGTAGAGGTGGCCAGCGCAAATTACTGTTCTTTGACGACCGTTCTGGGGGAGCCTAAGTTAGTCATGAGCATCTAACCTTGTACAACGGACTTTGCCATTCTCAGCAAATGTGGTTTGTTCGACGGGTTCGTTTGTAGGACCTGCCAGGTTTGCTCGGCTCGCTTGCACTGACTTGTCTTGGGTCAACCATGGCTGCCTTGGGGTGGCGACAGTTAGCGGCCATCCCTGGGTTTGCCTGAAATTCTCTTTCGGCAACTTGCAAAATCCGAGAGTTCCCCTGCGCTAGCTCCAGGCCTGCAGCAGCGCATCCCCCAAAACCACCACATTGACCGAGAGTTGGGCCGTTGCCTTTTTATGGGGTCTGGAAACAAGAGACTCCTTGCCCTTGCGGCATAGGGACAATCGTGCTTCTTGGGTGTTCGGCCAAGTTCGTAAGTTTTGTTTTGCCACCTGGGTCATAGCCCACTTATAATGGGGTCACCCCTGTGTGGGCTATACTTGGTTGTCGTTGGAAGGGGAGCAAACAAAAAATAGCGGTTAAGTGGGGATTTCCCACTAAACCACAATAAGCAAAATGTAAAATGTTTCCCAACAGCGACCATGTATAACCCAGCTGGCAAGGCCGAAGTCACCGGTCAGCTCGCCTGAGTCCTCAAGCTGCCGGCCCCGCAGGCGTCGCACGTAGCCGTCACGGAGGCGATAGCGGTCCAACATCCACTTCACGTATTCCTAAGGGCTTGCTGCTGCGATAGGGTTTTTTGAGAAATGGCATGACCCGAACATAAACTCAGTTGCCCAAAAGACCCGGAAATAAAAGGTGAACCTTGTGGGACCTCTACTAAAAATGGGCCGAATGGGGGAAACCAAAAGGTTAAAAGGTTGGGTTTGGACAACTGAGTAAACCGTACTGGTGGGTTCTGTTCTTCGGGAGTCCCGAAGTTCATTCCCCAAACTCCCTACCAGCAAGTTGAAGAGCATGAGGCCCAGGAGGTCGCAGGGGCCGTTCCGGTCAGGTTCGGGCGGGGGAGGGTATGTGGTCCTTGTACTTCCTCTGTTGTTTGCATCGTCTTTCGGGAAATAGGGGAATTCGGGTGGAATCTCCAAATGTAATGAGTGAACAAATGGGAAAGCAGCCTTTAGAATAAGTTGAGACCCAGTCGGCGGTTGAGTTTCTTCCAACTATTCTGAAGCACTAAATGTGGGGGTGTCCGGTTGTTCTTGATTTTAAGCAGCCTTTCTCGACCCGCACAAAGGACACGCCCGTGTCGACGCTGAACAAGTGGACAGTATGTAAGGCAAAGTGCAAAAAAAAATTGGAGCCGGCGCCATCTCCTTCTGGAGGGGAGCAACCCGGATTGGTACTATGTGTGGCATCTTTATGCACCTTTGAGTGAATTGCCGAATTGGTTCAACCTTGTACGCCCCCTTATCGCTTTCCAGGTTTGGGCATTTTGGTATCAGCGTGCAAGCGCAGCGATTCTTATGAGACCCTTGTTGTTTTCTGTGCAAACTGCCAGGGAAGCTGCAAACATATAAAGCTTCACTTGAATTTGCTTCATGACAAGTCTAAGCACATCTCACATGATTGTGCAGCTACTCAGGGCTAGAAACCCCTGCACGCAGTTTGTCGCATACGGCCTGGGCAAGTAAATGGCACATCGTCCCTGTCAAGGTATGCCTGGGGACAACCAACCACTCGGCCAGCATTTTCCGGTTTGGCATCCAGCATGACCTGATGTCTGGGGCTTTGACCCCAGTCAACACAAATCACAGCAGAAAGGCTTTCAAATTCCATTGGCGGTCCTTGGATGACAAGGATTATTCGGTGCGACTGCAAGAAGCCTGTTGAAGGAATCAAACGGCAAACGGCATGGCCCGCAACATGCAACTATAGGGGCGTGGTTGACTGTTGATCTCTCCTGTCGAGTCCTTGCCTGACCTTACTTTTATGGCAGCTGGCCGCACAACCAAAGAATCTGCACGACTTATCGTATGTCGCTGACTAAGGGACCTTCATTGCGGATCAAACTCGTTTTGTCGCCGAGTGAGCTTGTTGCTTGTGCAAATGAGTGGGTAGGTACTACATCAACGATTGCTACTGCCACAAAAAAGGACCTAAAAGGCTAACAAAGGCGACTGGTTTGGCCAAACTACATTCTTGATGACGTTGTCACGGTCCCACACGGGCCAATGCTCGTAGTAGCCCACATCCTTCTTCACCTAAGCAGCTCTGACACGGTGGGCTGTGTGAGCGAGGTCTTAGTCTGGGCTTTGCAACTGCCAAAAGCAAACCAGGCCACAACAAGTGCCGCAATAATATCCACGCGCACGCATGCGCAAGCTCTGGACGCCCAATGCCAAGCTTTTGTTTCATCGCCACCTGCACCTCATCCCCTTCTTGCCTCCAACATATGATCCAAATGAGCGAAAACACAACCTGTCGAGAGGATACCCAGCAACTTTGCCAAATGGCGGCAGTTCCTGCTTTCTGCAAGATGTGTGTTCTTCCTTTTAATGGATCCGTACCGCTCCGGCCGCTCCCTCCCCGAAAAGCCCAAAGCGTTTGCCCAGTCCCGAAGGACTCCCCGCCCAACGCCTGCCACTCATAGGCCAGCTTGGGATCCACGGGGACGTACATCTGGTGCTTGCCCTTCCACTCCCACATCGACACGAAGCTGTTGTTCTGACCGATCAAGGCGGTCTCCCAGCTCGCCAAGCCGATGCCTCAGCGGCTTCGCGTTGCAGCTGGACACATCGGACGCCCTCTGGCCATGTGGTGTCTAAACGACCACTTAGGCAACTTGAACTAATTACTTAACATTGATTGAAATTCAGCCGCCATGTGCTCAACTTGCGGGGCATCATCTTGACCCTTTGTTTCCTGAGAGTTTCTTGTTGACCGTCGCAACGGGTGCTCTGGGGGGCGAAACATGTGCTTCGGGCTTGCGATTTTGGGAACTCAAAGTTCCAAGTGACTGGACCTGACCGCGTAGCCTGAATCGGTGGCTCGTTTGTCCCATTGGGGAACCACTCAGGCAATGAACATGGGGAGGGGCCCAGATAAAATCCTGCTCGGGTGCTCCAATGTTCCTATGCGGTCCCTTTCTGAACAAGCACTTCGCCTGCACCTGTCGCATCGCGCCAAGCGAAACAAAATGAGCCGAACAAGCCCAACAAATTCACCTGCAAAATGAAGGTGCCCCTAGAAAGCTGCGAACTCGGTCCCTTCACATTGGATTTGCCTGAATCCCCCAAACGTTTTCAAGTGGCAGGAATTGAAGGCCAAGAGCATCCAAAACCAAGTGTGTGCTTCATTTGCGGAAGAGTGAAGCAAACTGGCAGCCCAAGCGCAGCCGGTCACAGTGCAAGCGCCGTGATGTTTGCGCCGTTCTTCTGATCTGTACTCCATGCCGATTGCATCCTCCCAGGGTGCGATTCAATCCCCCATCATATATAGAACCATCACCTCCATTTGGTTTGCCCTGAAAAGGCGTGTTGGCCTTTGGTTGGATTGCTTTAAATGGGGGGTATAGAATCTGGCTGCTCAACCTCTTTTTGGTTCACCTCAGGCTCTCTACCTTTAGGATCTGGCTAATGCTAACCCCAGATTAATAAACCCCTGGTTGATTCATAGGTCCTATTAGGAGGGTCTTTTTAGTGGTGATTCAAGCCACCTTTGGAGGGACCACCCCCCGAAAACCTCCAACTAAGGGCTGCCTGACCAGTGGATTCCATGGGGAAAAGCAAAGGCACGCTTTGGCGGTAGTCTGTTTTCAAGGGAACCCTCTCCAAAGAAAGCAAAAGCAGGCAAGCGACCCACTGGATGTGGGACTACCCCCAGTGAACATCCCAATCCCCACTAAAATAGGTTCTAAAATGGGTGGTGCACCGAAAACCCCAAAATGGGATCCCATTGGTTTTGACCCACAGCCTCGTCACTTTTGGAGGGAACACCCCGCCCCCAAACCTCTTTTTCTCCTGCCCAGAGGCTCCAATTCGATTGATTTCGGGCCTTCAATGAACCTGGTTGAGAGAGATCCCCAACCTCGGGGTGTCTCATGGAGGGATCGGTCGGGTCTTCCATTGAAAGCCCCAGGAACCTCTGGGTGTGGTATAGTACAGGGCCCTTGATTCACCACATCTCCGAACAAAGGAGGGCTTTTTTCGGTTGAAGGCAGCCTTGAATGGGGCAGATGAGTGGGTCAACCGAATCCGTGTCTCCTCCCCGTGCAGGCCGTGGGTGAGCCACATGATGGCCTCCTTGGGCGTGGCGGCGCAGAAGTAGGCCGCGTCGTTCCTTTGCAACCAAGGACCCCCCTGCAAAAAACGTGTCCCACTTGATTGTTCTTTCTTATTTTTTGCTGTTGGAGAACGCCTTGATTTCCCCTCCCCCCCCAAAAAGAAGAAGAAGTTGTTTTCTTCTTTTTTTGGTGGAGAACGCCTTGATTTTCGTTTCCCCCCCAAAAAAAAACACCCAGAAGTTCAAGTCTAAAGATCCAACCAAATCTTGGGTGCTGTAGATCCCCGGCAAAAAGTTTAACTGTTGCTGGTTAAAAGGAAATATGAGGCGAATCCAACAAGTTAAAGTCTAAAGATCCGTTGCCCAATAGCAGTCAAGTTTCAGGGGCGTGATCTGCAGCACTCGGGCCGTGTGCTCCGAGAAGTTCCGCGTGAAGCTGCCGTCCGCGATCTTCCACATAAACCTCAGCAAGCCCGAGCCACCTACCCCCAGATGCCCAGTGGCCAGTGGGAAAAAAGGGGCATCCTTTGTGGAAAAAAAAGGCATCCTTTTGGTTGGTTGATTTTACACGGGAAAACGCTTCCAACAAAAAAGAAAAGAAACAATGGGTACACCGCTGGGCAACTGGGTGCCATATCCTTTAATCAAACTCCAACAGGCTCCCTCTTTGAAAAAGGCTGATTTGGATACCCCCGGCTTCTTGGCTCCCCTCCCCACCACCAGCTAGCATTCCCAAGCCAGGGGTGAGGTTCATGGCCGCAGGGGTGCCCGTTTTGTCCCCCCGACTTGCGGAGCAATGGAAATCATAGCGTCTTGATGCTCGGTGTCTTTCAAACGCCTGCCGTACAAGAGGATCCATTTCAACAGCTGGCGGTGTGTGTTTGTGTGCGCTTGAAAAGGCCGCGTGTGTAGTTGAAAGGGCCCTAGACCGACTCGGTCGCATCTGCTTTTGGCTCAACTTCCCCTGTTTTGTGGTTTGGATTCGCGGTGTGGATCGGCTAAGCCTATGTACCCTCCACGAGAACAAGGGGCTCAAATCCCCAAACCGGCCAATTCGCAGCACCACGAACAGGGATCCTTCCTTCATACACCTGAACATTGCCTTGTAAATGGTGGGTTCCCTTTGTTTTGGTGTTGAAAAAGCAACATGTTTCAAATGGTTGCAACATGAATTTCTTTTAGGCTGAGATCCCCAAACCACCAATCACCAGGGGCTGACATCCCCAAACCAATTTGCAGCACGAAGGCCCTGATGGCAAGCCACACCTGCGCGTCATCTCCGCCGCTTAAGGCCTCGATGCCCCCAGGGACCACGGCCACAGAATTCACTGAGCGGCCCTCTTTGGAGTGATGGCTGTGGAAGGAGGACACCACGAAGAAATCCCTCAGCTCGGTTCAGTGACCCTGGAAAAAAGGGACATCTTCTTGGGGAGATCTTTTTGTTTTGTGTTTTTAGAAAAAAGGAACCCTTTTTGGGGAAGACCCTTTTTAGTGGGGCAGCCACCAAACAAAAGGGGAAACAATGGTGCCACTGAACACCTGAGTCAGGTCACCAACACCCTCTCAAGCGATGCATCCAATCGGTTTCTGGGAGGCGAAAAAAACCCGTGCCAAGAATGATCAACTATCTCAGAGGCGCGTTGAGGCATCCCCGGCTTGCGTTGGCAAGACTAGTCTACCCAGAGTGGCATTGTGGACATGATTCCATATTTAGCACATGGACTCCGCACTGATCAACCTAGCTAATTGCATTGACAATGCTGTTCAGTGCGAAGCATTGACGCGACTTCATCGGCTCGGGGGCTCAGACAAGGGCAAGCATGAAAGAGCAGTCCCCCCAACAATCGACCAAAGAAAACGAGCAAAGGTGATACAACTACCCTTACCACATAGCACCTGCCCAATGTCAGGTGCCATGTTAGTGGGCAGGAGGGCTTCTCAGTCTGATTCTTTGGCCACGTCCTATCGTCGCAACATGTCAATGCCTCGAGGGCCTTACTCTAAGCCCAGGCGATTCTACGGACACTTTTTGGGGACGCGCTACTTGGCAGCAGCAATTTGACGCGTCGTCCCTTCCGCTTTTGCCTGAAAAAGCGACGCATGGTGGAAAACACACTTCCAACCGCAGCGGAAGGATATCGATTCGAGAAGCTTCGAACAGGAACTAGGTCCTCCAGTAGAGAGGTTAGAATAAGGGTGCCCGTTTTTTTTTTTTTGTTCGGTAGTCTATTTTAGTAGGGGGACCCTCCCAAACAAAAAGGAAACGGTAAACGTTGGCACCTAGCCGGGGGACCTAGGGAACTCGCATGTTCCAAGCCACAAGTTGCTCCTGCAATCTTCGATCAGCTCTTCTTCGCAGCCGGGCTCCAGCGTGCCTGCCTTCACCGCCTGTCCGCAGGAACCATAAGGCCCACGCACGGAAGAAGTCTTACCTCTTCCTGGAGATTAATTCTCCATGAATTTCCTGGTAGTTCTCGTCTTTAACTTGCTTTTCCTAAACCAGGAAAACAAAACGCCTAGGAAAAGGCCGGATAATGATTCTTCAGGTTGCGTTTGGAAGCACCAGTCTGTTGGATGTCCACTGGTAACATTGGCAGACGGAAACAACTCATAGCAAGACAAGTAAACTTGGTTGACGTTGGAAGGGCAGCAAACAAATAAGTTTTAGCAATTAAGTGGGGATTTCCCTTATTAACTTATAAACCACAATGCGCAAACATGTAAAATGTTTCCCAACAACAACCATGTAAACACGGACAGGCAAACAAAGAAAAAACAAACACCAATACACGACATTGTTACACAAGCCAAACATAACCCTGAAGCCAACCACTGGCACATCAGCTTGCCCCGCTGGTTCTTCAGTGGTCCGCCTAACTTAGCACAATTTAGCAACCACTGGATCTAAAATGCATGCAAGCATGGGAATAGATGGACACAGTTAAAATTTAGGCTGCAGAAGCATAAGTAGGTAAGGTTGGTCTAAACATTGCAAGCAAAGGTTCGCAGGATGCAAGGCTGTATGTGCCAATGCGATGAGTGTACGAAAACGGTGCTTCCAGCGCTGTGAGGGTTGTTCATGGATATATTACATTCTGTTCCTTTTACCCACCATGGGACACTGAAGGGGAAGCTGCTGCGCTTGCCTTGAACAAACATTCCAATAAAGCCCGCGACAAGTCGCAAGGGCCTTGGGTTGAATCCGGACATTCAGCCACTTTTCCACATGGAGAACTTGGGATCTGACGTCCGCCTCCCCTTGTGTCGCAGCAAGCTGGCTTCCATCACCCCAATACCCAAGAAAAAAAGGGGGGTAGAAAGCCCCCAGCCTCACTGGCTGAGTGGATGGCCCCAAAAAAGTCTAAATTTTATATTTACCACTAAAATAGTCTTCCCAAAAGTTTAAAGTCCATGAACTCAGGAAGTAAGCAGCTCAAACATCACAGTTCCATACCCTTCCCCTTTAGCTAGTGGAAACCTTGAAGCCACCGGATCCGCGCGGGGGATCCGCCTGGATCACCGCGTGGTTCCACTGGTGCCGGGACACGCTGTCCCGCTCGATGCCCAGCTGACTTTCGCAGTAGGGCAACAAGTCCTGGAACTCAAAACCCAAGCGAAGAGAAGATGGAAAGATGATTGGCACTTCTTCACATAGGTGGCCTCTTGGCTAGAAATAGATGGGTTTCCCTGGTAAATGGGGCTAAACCAGGACTCGCCCTCTATTTTTTAGGAAAACCAACCAACAAGGACACCTATGCTTCTTCAGCTTGCCTCCAATGGATTGTTTGGAGTGCTGGTTTGGAGGGGAAACTGCTCCAAATGATTCGCGCTTCAGCTTTCCTCAACTAACTAATAACCCAGGGTATTAGAAATGAACTGGACCCTTGCAGGAGATGGTTTGTCGGGGTCATTCCCTTATTCCTTGCTAAGAACAAGCAAGTTTCATGGGTGGTTTGGATTGCTGGCTTGGGGGTGTGGAGGACCTACGGGCGGGTTCCCATATACCCGCAGGAGCCAGGGGTTCACATCCCCCTGGCTCCACCAACCTGCACCAAGGGTTCTCCGGATTGCTTGGACGTTGGGATCGTCCAAGTGTCACCATCCGATTTTTCGAGGGTCCCTAAGCCGTATGCTGGAAGCACGCGGCATAGCATATCGAGACGAAAAAAAAGAGCTTAGAACCCGCCAGGGCTGTGATTTATGCCATACCTGGAATATGTTTTTCCAAAGACCACTCCCCTTACTCGCTGGTGCCATAGGTCGGGACTGAGTTGGAATGAACCTTTTTTTGGATTTCCGAATGAAGGAAACCACCAGTTGGATGGTTTTTAGTCCGGGTTCATTCCATTTCTCCTTCCCCGCAACACGGTCAACACGTAAGCCGTTTTAAGCTCTCAAGGAAAAAGCTGAACAAAATGCAGGTGGATCCGGTGGGCTCGGCGCGGGGCACATGTATCCTTTGCTTTACCAGGTCTTTCACCCCATGCCATACGGCTTGGCAACGCTTTTCCCCGAATTTGCTTCACCGGTTCAGATCCTTTTGCATCCCTTTGCCGCCTTATGGGATCAGCTTGGCATACCTCCAAGCGAGAACCGTTGCTTTGGGGAAGATGAACTTGGGCCTCTGCGACCATCAAGACAGGTCCTGTCTGCACGGGCGGAAACATGCTCTTGTAGATGGATGAGCGGTGGTCAAGCGCTCGATTTTGCTTCACCATCTCATGCGAATCCTTTTGCATCCCGTTGCCCTTTTTACCTCCAAGAGAGAACCGTTGCTTTAGGGAAGATGAAGTGCCCGCCCACCAAGCCTGGACTCGATTCCTGAGTGGATGGGCCAAACAAGTCTACCCTTTTGTTTACCACTACAATGGACCAACAAGTGACGATCAAGTCCGGAACAGAACTTAGGAAGTGAGTCGAATATGAATTTTCCAAAGACTGCTCCCCTTACTCGCTGGTGCCATAGGTCGGGACTGAGTTGGAATGAACCGTTCTTGGAATTTCCCGAATCAAGGAAGCCACCCACTAAGATGAACCGTTTTGGAATTTCCGAATCAAGGAAACCACCCAGTTGGATGGTTTTTAGTTCGGGTTCCTTCCCTTTCTCCTTCCCCGCATCTCACTCGCACCGATCGCAAGCGGCTCGCCCCCGCATCTCTCGCACCGCTCGCAAACCCCGGCTCGCGCCTGGCAGGTGTTGCAGGCGGAGGTCCAGGCGTTGAGACCGTTGCCGCAGTAGGAGCTGTCGTAGCAGCACTGCTCTTGGCACGTGGAGAGCGTGCCTCGAACGATCGGCAACAGGGATCCTTACATGAAAAACACCTGAACATTGCCTTGCAAATGGTGGTTTCAACTTTTATTTGGGTCTTGAAAAAGCAACATGCTTCAAATGGATGCAGTTCTGCATCTTTTAAGGAGCCCTGTGCATTTTTTAGCATTCTTCCAAAACCTGAAATAAGGAATCACCAAAAGGATCCAAAACCATGGCTTTCGCTCGATTTACCCCCAGCGAAAGCCATAAGTTAGGCAGAGAGGATCCCAACTAGGTCCTCCACTTTTGGAGGTCAGAAGAAGTTGGTACCCAATTGTTTTTCTGTTGTCTGTTTTCTCACTTGCCCCTTAGGGACCTGCAACTAGAAGGTGATCACCTTGTGGGACTACTAAAGATAGGCCAAAGAGGGAAAACCAAAAGGTCAAAAGGTCGATTCGCTTTGAACAACTGAGTTTTGGTAGGGGAACCGAATCTCCCAACCAAAAAAGAAACGGTGAGAAAGTTGGCACCTAGCTGGGGACCTCCCAAAAAAAAAGAAACAGTGAGAGTTTGGGCACCACTGGAGAACCTAGACCACAACTTGCGCCGTCGAATCTTTCGGAAAAGCTGGATGTAGAGCTGGAACGGGACGGGTCTTGGAGATCCAGCTGGGCAGATATGACCAGTGATCGAGTCCCTTGAAATCCGACAGGGGGAAATGACAGTTATTCAAGCAAATGGAAGGAATCTGTCACTTACCCCTTAAAACTCCAAGGGGTAGGGGAAGTTAATCTTTTACAGACATATAGCCCATGTTACCCCAAAAAAGTTGAACAGCTGTGTTTGTAAGAGGTAAGGTCAGGTTGAAAATCTCAAAAGGGTTGAAGGGTACAAATTTTGAAGATCCATCCAAAAAGAAAAGAGTCCCTTCCTCCATTGTTCGACAAAGCGTCCGGGCCTTGCATTCAAGGGTTCAAGCTGATATGGATGAGTCTAGAGTAATCCGCGCTCTACATTCTTGATCCG